TAAACTCCAGAGTTTCCACTCATACTTTCAAACATTTATGTTATTCTGAGCTGTTTCAAACGTTTTTATTTTCACTGGTTATGAATTCTATCAGCTTAATTCCAGGACACCTATCTCTCTCTCGTTAGTTTTAGGCCTTGATGTTCCAGGCTGTCTTCCACTTTTGTAATCATATTAATCTTGCTTTACACAGACTGTCCATGTTTACTAGTTTGAGATTTATCACTGATTGGCCATCTTTGCCAGGTCTTTCTTGTCTCTCCAGACCTGATGACAGTTGTTAGCCTCTCATTCGCCTGGTTCCTTTCTTGACTGAGTAAGTAATCCGTTGATTACTGAGCCTTTTCCTGCTCCCTTTCTTACATTGTCTCCTGCTCCTCCATTTCTTCAGCACCTCTCAACATAATCAGCACAGTATCATTACTGGTACATTTAGCACAGTTTGCTCACTAATACATGTAGCACAATTGGGGTTCATTTCTAGAGGGATAGAAATGAAAAGCAGGGAAGTTATGGCAAACCGCTATAGAACCGTGGTTAGACCACACTAGAATACTGTGTGCAGTTCCGGTCCTCACATTATAGAAGGGATGTAGAGGCACTGGACAGGGTGCAAAGGAGATTCACAAGGATGATCCCAGAATTGAGAGGTTATATCTATCAGGAAAGGCTGAACATGAACAAACAAAAAAAAACCTGAAAGAGATCTTTAAAATGATGAAAGGTTTTGATAGGGTAGACATAGCGAAGATGTTTCCACTTGTCGGGGAGACCAAAACCAGGGACCATCAATATAAAATAGTCACAAATAGATCAAATAGGGAAGTTAGAAGAAATTTCTTTACACAGAGAGAAGTGAGAATGTGGAAAGTGCTACCACAAGGAATTGTTGAGGCAAATAGCATAGATGTATTTAAGGGGAAGCTAGATAGGTACATGAGGGAGAAATGAATAGAAGGTTATGCTTGAAGGCTTCGTTGAGGAATGGCAGGAGGAGGCTCATGTGGAGCATAAACACCGGCATAGACCAGTTGGGCCAAATGGCCTGTTTCTGTGCTGTATATTCTAATGTATTCTAATGTAATTGATCACTAAAACACAAGCGCAGTTTTCTCACTCACCAACACCAATATACAAGGCACAGTTTGCTCAATGATTACACAAGACACAGTTTGCTCACTCATGATGTTAAGACAGGTCTCCGTATACCTGAACTAACTCCAAGGAGACATACGAGAGGCTGGTCTGTAATGATCCATTGTTGACAATTACCAGCATGTCCAGTCCAAAAAATTGGCTTAGAGGTGTAGACATGTCTTCCAGTCTGTGAGCCAAAGTTCTAACAGATAGGAAAGTCTCAGCTGGAGAAATATTGTGCTTTTGCCCACTCCTGTAATGTTGCATAAATACTGTAGCTGAAAACTAAAATTGTTCTTTCAGGCCAGTCACTGGGTTGTATGTTTGCATTTTTTTCAGGGTTGTCTCACTATTTCATTTTAAATTGAATAAAAGAGTTTTTGGCCATCGTAGCCAATAATATCCTGCTGGATCCAAGAATACATTATCTTGGCCAACATTCCCACCAGCAAACCTCTTCAAACTGTTATCAAGGGGTCAATCTGCACATTGTCTCCTGGGTGGCTCAGCATGTTGCTTCAACACTGTAACTCTATTGGGCAACAACCCGTACTCTGCTATGGGTAAATCACATATGCTTCAATCTTCAGCAGATGTGGGCTTTGGCTGCAGAGTCCTGAGGGTAGTAAGTCAAATTGGAATAGCATGTTTCCACTATTTGGTTTTGCTCTGAATCCCCCACATTAAAGTGTGTCGTAGGATTAGCAAAGCACCAACATGAGTTAGAAAGATAAATATTTTCTCTGATAATAGGTACTTTTCAAAGTACAGGTTCTCGACAACCTTAAAAAGCGCTGTCCTTCTGGAGCAGAACCTCTCTTATTGTCTGTACCGTGTACCTCCTAGATGTTGACATCTCATCTCCTGGAGTTGCCTTGGTTTTAGATCACCATTTGAGCTAACTGCAGCATAGCTCTAGTCCAGGATTCAATCTGCCAAGTGTTTCCAGGCTCAGTTTGGGATTCAGCGCCTGCTCACTGTAATTTACATGTCAGATTAGTGAAGACCAGAAGTCTAATAAACAATAATTGGATAAATGTTTCCCCCTATTTATTTTGTTTTAAAAAAGAAAAATTGAAATGAATTTTGGTTCCTGTCACAAATGTGGAGGGAACCAGCTTGTCCACGTTTTCACTGTAACTCGATTTTTACAGCTTCCCCTCAGTACCACCTGGACCACAGAGTGCACAGATCCAGAAAATCAGCCAGAAACCAGAAGTGATGTCAGCAGTGATCTGATGACGTGGAAATGCTCAGTAATGACCATTTTTACAGCGCAATCAGTTATAACACAGGGTCGGATTTTATGGACCCAACTAACCAAGTTATAATGGAGGTCTAACTGTATGTTAAAGAAACTAAAGCCTAAAGAAACCTGCATCATGTTGCAAAATCTTTGCGTGGTTCACGAGTAATTAAGTGTAGGGATTGTTTTGTAGGAAAACACAGCGGCCTTTGTGCACAGCCAGATCCCAGTAACAGCCATGAGGTGAAAGACCAATTCACCTGGAGGATTGTTGGCCAGGATAATGGGACAAACTCCCTTCCCTTTTTGAAGATTATTAACATCCATCTGAAAACAGTCTGATGGGACCTCAGTTTAATTTATCATCCGAAAGATGTTTCTAATAATATTGAATCCCCACCACTGCATTAGAATGTCGGCCTGGAATTAGAGGTCAAATCCTGATGTAAGGACTTGAACTCAGAAGTTCCTAACCCAGAGGCAAGAGTGTCACCTACAGAGCAAAGCTGATACTGTATCCTCTGGCACTGCTTCTGTGTCTGATGTTAAATTTGACCTTAGGTGAGTGTGGAGGGTGGAATTAACCAGACGGAGTGTATATTAAGCTGATTAGAATCAAGTCAAATACTAAGGCTCGAAGGAACTTTACTGTTATATTCTGAACATTATTTTTTGATCTATCAGGTGTCAGACACATGCAAAAACTCATCAATCTACATAAAAGTTTCCAAACCAGACTGAGATTTGTACATATGTGGGTCCATATGTCTGTTATGGAAATTTGTCCGTTTTGAAAATCCTCCACAGAAAATGTAATAATGTTCCTTGCATTCTGCACCAGGAACACGTGACATTTAATGTTATTGTCTGTGCTGGTGTGGGGCTCTCCACCCGAACAGGCAGGTGATGAAAGTACTCCAAACTTACCATTTAGAATATTAGGTTCATGGATGAATAGTCAGTGCCAGTCTAAGTGTATTAGGTGGCAGCCCAGCTTAATTGGTAGCACTCTTGAGTCAGAAGGCTGTGGGTTCAAGCCCCACGTTGGGACTCCCAGTCTAAGCTGACACTCCAATGCAGTGCTGGAGGGGTGTTGCATTGTCAGAGATGCTGTCCTCAGATAAGACATTAAACCAATATTCTGTCTGCCTAAGGTTCAGGTGGATGTTAAAGATCCCTCGGCACTATTTGAAAACAGAAGGGACTTTCTCCTGATATTCTGCCCAGCAATCCCCCAAATTACATTGATCATTCACTCCATGGCTTTTGGTGGGACATTACTCTGGCTAAATTAGCTGTCACATTCACCTACATATTAAACACTAAACTTCATGGTGAATGTTATGAAGTGCTTTGAGACAACCTCATAATGTGAAAGGCCCTTTATCAAATGCAAGGATGATGATTATTATTATTATTATTTAAAGACCATTAATTCTTTCCAAAAATGTTTCTTATACTTCATTGAAAAAAAGTTACTTCATAGAGGAGGACTTACCTCTCTTCAAGTTTGTTTCGAATTGCTGCTTTATTAATGTGATTCTTTATTAACTGGTTTTATCAAATGTATTGGAAAAGTCTGTGTCAGCTGAAAGGTCAGCCTTACCAACTTTACTTAGCACAGCATAAACTGCTAACACTGGGTATTGAAGAATTGATACCATTGCTGGTGCCATTGTTGTAAAGATAGAGTTTATTTGAAAAGGAAAACAAATACTGTGGCTCCAACAGTACCTTGATGCTAGCATTTCTGTGACTGCAGTCAACTCTATATAGCTATAAGTTTTAACACTTTCGCTTAAAGTACATTTTGTCTCATACTTATCCCAGTTTAGAAATATTATCAGCTAAAATAATGTTGTCAGAATAACAGGTGCTTTTATTTTGAAAGGATTGAATTTAACAGTTCAAACAAAATCTGTTTAAGAGCCACTTGTCTGTCTGTAGGAATTCAACACTAGCGGCAAATTAACATGATCTTTGGGAGGTTAACACCTAGGGGTCGAAATTCCGTGTGTATCACTGCTACCGTAGATATGGTAACATTGAGATATTTGGGGGAGTAAATGAACATGCATGAAGGTACAAAATTGGAAAGACTTTATTTTTTTTTGGTGAGGGGGGGGGATTGGATGGTTGTGCTGTGAAGCAAGTGCTTTCCCCCCTGCCAGAGACTATCATTCACACTGAGAATTTTTTCTGCACAACCAATCCCATTAATTTTTCCACAGACCAAACACCTTTACTCCAGCGCCATCAACATCACTAGAGATTTGGCCCATTTTGGTGTATATATAATAAGTTGGCTGTCCAAGTGAATGTTCCATATCCTGCCATTTATAGCAAGTGTAAACCATTGGATTATCTCAGGACCAAATACAGTATAGGGCATTAGACCCATTGAGCCATTACTTAAACTGCAGTAGTTTGAGACCAAGGTTCAGTATTCTTTTAACAGAGATAATGCTATAACTGAGAGCCTAAGATCAGGGGGTGTTGTGTATTGCAAACAGTTATACATTTACAAGAGGTACACAGGTATATGTTGAATTATTTTATTTCAGTTATAGTCACTGTGAAACATACAGGCTGACTGTAGTTTATTTCATGTCTACAGCTGACCATCCGTTGAAGCCAAAGAATGTGAAGTTGCTGTCTCATGAAAAGGGATTGAAAGTACTGTGGGAACCACCCAAAGATATATCTAACAGGCCTGTAGATCGCTATAACATTGGCTATGGTAAATCACCAAATAGCCTCAAATTTATCAAAGTGGAAAAAGATAAACGCTCTCAAATATTGGAGGACGTGGGTAAGTAGATGTGCTCTAATCTTCATATGATCAGCCAATGATAGCTGAAGACACAAAACAGTTATAAATCTTCAGTTATTTGACCTTGATTTGCATTTAATTGAATTAATGCAGTTGTTGTATCGGACAATTAATTTCCTATAGTTTGGCAGTGTGCTGATGTAAGCCATATGTTGCAGAGCCTGGGGAGGTGTACTTTGTGGTGGTGACTGCAGAAAACCAGCACGGAGTGAGCCATCCAGTGTACAGAGCTAATAATGCAGCCGGTAAGTGACACAGTACATTGTGCAAATTCATTCAAATGGTTAATGGTGCGAAACTTGAGAAACAAGATACTGCGGTAGGGTTCAATTATTCTAACACATAACTCATCGAGTAAAGACGTTCCTATTAAAGCCATTATGTTTGGCATTAATGTAAACCACATAGAGAATGAAACCTTGAGTCAATTGAATGTCTGATTGCACTTGGCTCAACTGGCTTTGGGTCTTCCACTGTTAAAATGACCTTTAGGTAACATTAACCCCCACCCCCCCACCACACACCCACAAATATTTTGCTGTGACATGAATTGTGGATTTGTCTTGGTAAAAGTGCTTGAACTTGAAATGTGATCTCTTTAAGAAAATAACAATTAAGGAATGAGAAGAGAAAGCCAATCGTTCTATCCAATGTACTCAGGCATCCTGGTTCAGTTTTAAAAAGGATTTTTATTCTAATTCTAACCCATATTTCGCGGCTCCCCGCTGAATCTTGAACTGTTCCTATTAGTCTATAAGTGCTTAAGTGAGTCAGGCTCTTCATTGCGAAATAAACCTAAAATTGATACTAACCCAGCCAAGACCAAGGAGATGGTGCTAGTGGCCAAGTTAAATGATGCAGAGGTTCCCCTTTCACAGAAATGCACATTCAAAATATGCCCCTTCCTATTAAGTGTACTGAAAAGAGTAATAAACCATGAGATCTGAGGCTGTTCGTGGAACACTGCTTGAAGCCCAAAGTTAGACAGGATTGAAGATGGTGGAAATCTGATCAGTAGACCACAGCATGAAAACATTTGTTACTCCTTTTTCTTAAAGAAGAATGAAATAAAAAGGACTGTATTCTTAAACAATTTCCATTTCTGATTTAAGGAATGAAGTTAATTTATTTTCAAATATCCACATTTCCTCGACCCCCTTGCCCCACACCCACACACATCTCCACCCACTATCTGAAAACTAGAAGTACTCAAACACTCAAACTCACTGAGGATTTAATAATCCTTGCATTTGATATAGCACCTTTCACATCTTCTAGACATCTCAAAGCGCTTCACAGAATAGACTGTAAAGTGAATTGACTGCATATTTGTGGACGAAATGCGGCAGCCAATTGCACACAGCAGTGTCCCACAGTCGTGGATTGAAATGACCAATTTATTATTGTTGTTTTTTGAGGGATTATTATCAGGCATGTTGAGTAAGGAAACTTGCCCAAGGTTTCACCATGCCTGGAATCGAACCCAGGTCCCAGGTCTTGCAAAATGAGTGCTCTAACCACTGAACTACAGGATTTTAGCAAGTTCCAAAGTTTTTTTTTACAGGTCTCGATTGGCATTTGCCAGTGTAGGAAACTAGCGCGTAAGACAGCATAGAAACCTTCCCAACTTGAAAGGAGCTATATTTAATACAATTTGTTGTTCTTGTTGGTCAAGGGCTCTGTCTCAAAACAAATATTACAGTTTTGACCCAAGTGTAGAAGGGGAATTTGTTCTTGAATGAATGTTGAATTCTCATATCTGCCTCATTTCTATATCTCATCTAACGAATGGTAATTCTGATAATGTAATACTTCCCCAGCATTGCATTAGAGTGTAGTTTGGACTGTGAACTCAAAGTCCAGACATGTAACTGCAGAACCCTCAAGTCTTTTGTCTAAGAAGCGAGTATGTCACCAACTGAGCCAAGCTGCTATTGCTGAGTCAAGTTATTTCCTTTATAACTTACGTAGTGTTTTCGACTATTGCTTTCTAGAAAACCTATAGAGGCTGATTTGCCATTTCTCTACATGGAAACAACCTCCATCTGATTACCTGTAGTTCTATAGCACAGGAAGATGAAATGTTAGGATACAATACATATGTAAGCTCGGCACAAACTGTACCACGATTAAATCAGAATTGGGTATTACGTCCTGGAGAGTGTATTCTCTCTCTTGTTCCTGGCAACAAGCAGCTTGGTCAATTAAAGCCTCACTTGGGATTTGTATTTTCCCTCTTAATTGCTCCAGTTGGCAAAGACGCTGCTTCAGAATACTTTCTGGAGGGAGGAACATGCTTCTTCTTGGCTTTGGCAAATAATAATAATAATAATCCTTGCATTTGATATGGCGCTTTTCATGTCTTCTCAACGTCTCAAAGCGCTTCAATGGAATGATTGCTAAATTTAATATTATGTTTATGGTATAGAGCTGAATTCCTAAGCAGTTCTGCACATTTCAGGGCACTAAAAAACAAACCCTACCAATAGCCAGCAAACAGCGTTTGACCTCTAGGATTTGATCTGAGGTTCTAGATAGATTCAACAGACTGAAATCTTACAATTCCTCTGGAATGATGAAACTCTTCTCCCAGGGTACTTAAAGAGACAAAGCAGGTGATTTGTATGACACTATCAGATATCGTGGTGATTGAGGGAGTCAGTCACCACTGCTGGGGTTCAACCAGACTGGACCCAAGCAGATATGGTTCCCATATTCAAGAAAGGTAACAGAACCATATCTAGCAACTACAGACCCGTGAGCCTGAACTGAATAATTCCAGAACTGATGGAATCAATCCAGAAAGAAGATAGAAGATTGCTTGAATTAAAAAACCCAATATATGACAGCCAGCATGGATTCAAAAAGGTGTAAATCTTGTGTGACCAACCCTCATAGACTTTCTTGAGGAGATAACATCCCAAGTTGCCTGTGGGAAGCTGTAGGATGTAACATTCTAAACTTCTCAAATACGTTTGACAGAGTACCAAATGGAAGACTCCTTCACAAACCGTGGTCATTGGGTATCAAAGGCGAGACATGGACATGGATTCAAAATTGATTGAAGCAGGAGCAGAGGGTAGCTGTTAGGGGAGCTGGGTAAAAATGGGGGGAAAGTGTTGAATAGAATAAATTATGACCATCCATTAGAAACCCTAAGATTCTTCAGCTTTGAAATGAGATATTTTAGTGGGGATCTTATAAAGGTATATAACAATTTAAAAATGGGATTGAGGAAGTATAACCAAAACAGTGCTTTGATACACAGGGTGACACAACACAAGGACATAGGTTTAGAGTTGCAAAACACAATTTCAGGACAGATACTAGGAAGTATTGTTTTACCCAGAGGTAATTATCAGCTTGAGACACATTCAGCACCACAAGTCTACTTCTCCGATCTTTATAATGAACGTGTAGGTTTAACAAAGTAGATTTGGTCTGGAAGTTGCCATTCACCCTCATACCTTGCCAACTCCCCTTTTACATGGTGAAGGACTGAATGATTTCATTTCACATTTTCAGGGGGCGAGTGGATCACGATGGATGGATTTGCTCTTATGGGTCCAGTTGCCTACAATGGAACAGTTACAGGTGCATTCTTCAATATGTCTCCCTCCTCCCTAGACAGTATTAGACAGATTTTTTTTCCAGAGGTTTGGGTGTATTAAATTATTTTAGTTATGTAGTAGTACATCACCTTTAGTGACATGAGTTTTAGTTCAATGGTAATTGATTGGAAAGAATTTTGAGACCCTGTGATTTAGTCAGTAGAAAGGAACAGTGGAAATCCCTCCTTATGTAATCCCACATTAATATCAGCTGCTTTTCTGTGCTAAGAAACAGAACAGAAGTTTCTTATTACTTATTAATTAAAAAAACTCTAATTTCTTCATCAGTAAAATACTTTATTGCCGAGTGACAATTACTTTCTGAACAGAGCTGCAGGATTGGTTAATGCGTAGGAGACTGCTGAATGCTGGGGTCTAATTTGCAGTATTTCTTAATGCGATTCCTGCAGATACAATACGGTTGATAGTTTCTACAGGTCGGGATGATGTAAGTGTCTTGTGAAGGCTAATGTATCTTAAACAGAGTCAAATGGATAAAAGCAGTTCAACGACAACAAGCTACATAAACCTGATTTGCTTGTTGGTGTACTTGACTTTTGCATTAGCTCGGAATTACACAATAGTTTGTACTCTTGTCTCTACACTCTTATAAACCCCACCTCTCCACTGACAGGTTCAGAGGCAGAGGATTTTTTTTNAACCAGGTAGCCAGACTAAAGATGTTCAAATATTGGGTGTCACCGGGCCAAAGATCTCCTTGTTTACTGTAAAGAGCTGAATGTTGCAGGTTTTCAACAGAAAGAGAGTCAAGCTCAGACTGAGGAATGCATTTGTTTTCAGAGCGGAGAGTACCAAAGAGGCCTCTCCGTGTCCGGGTCAGGACAGCAGAAGATGGACTTTCACTTCACTGGAGACCACCTCGTTCTTCCAGCTCCAAGAGTCCAGGGAGAGTTCGAAGCTATCTGTTTGGCTACGGGCCCCGCGGCAGGAGAATGCAATATGTGCCACTGCCAGAAGAGCAAAGAAGCCATAAAGTAAAAAAGCTTGGTGGGTCATAGAGTTTTTACATTAACTTTTTCAGTGCTAACGTTCTTTATGAAGGTTATCAAATATGCCGCTTGTCTGTCATGTCAAAACCCAAAGGATTTTTTTCTTAAAAAAAGTCAGAGAAAAATATAGATATCCGCAGAATATTTGAATTTGATAAAACTGTGATGATTTTTTTTGTCGCACACAAATCTTCACCGAGGCTTCATTGGCATCCAGTAAACAAATGATCATTTCAGTAGCTATCCAATTTTTCTAGTGTAGTTTAATAAGATGTTAACAAGTTAAGACTTTCTTTTTACACTGAGTCTCGTTTCTCTCTTCCCTCAGTTCCTGAATCAGTGTATGTGGTGTCTCTACAGGCTATGAACTCTCTTGGTCAGAGCGAACCTGTTTACAGGGCAGCATTGACCAAACGCAAAATGGCAGGTGAGTTGGTCAGCATACAAGTGCAAGTAATATGAAGACATGGTCCATGACACTGGGAAAATTCACCCAAACAACAACCAGACCTTGGTTTGACATGTCAAGTAAGAGGTGTTATCTCTTACAATGTAGCGCTTCCTCAGCAGCTGGAGTGTCAGATTAGGAGCTCAAGTCCCAGAGTGGAGCCTGAACCCACCATCTTTTACCCCAAAGCTGAGAGTGCGACCAACTGAGCCAAACTGAGGCTGTTACAACGAGTTTGAACCAGTAAATATTGGGGGGTTTTCTAGTACTTCACAGTTTGCAATTCTGATTGCACCTTTACTTTATGTTGGATATTTGACAGAACTGTGGCTGTTTCGGATTATTACCATCTACCTGTCTGTCTGTCTTATTGCTTTTAGAGGCTGATGAGCTGCACAAGCCAAGAGACATTACAGTGCGAGTTCTGGGTTCACAGTCTCTACTTGTTATGTGGGTCGATCCTGGACTGAAGAAGGAAAAAAATCCCAATGTCGGCAGTACTAGGTACAGACTTGGAGCATGGATTGGAAAATAATGCAGACTCCCTCCCTCCAGTCCTACTTTGGAGTGTGAGCATAGACTATGAGTTCAAAGTCCTCATATGGGTTTGAATCCACAAATGTCTGAATTAGAGCCGACAGTGCTACTAACTGAGCCACACTGACACCAGGATGAGATCAAATGGGCTGAAGCATCTTCTTTACCTCTGTCATTACTCTCAGTGTTGTGAGAAGAGGATCTACATTCCTGTTCCTGCTCCAAATCACTTTTACTGGGGCTGAGGAGCTCTGCCAGTGCATAATGAAGTGACGCTCAGATCTCTGTGAAGCGGAGCTGAACACTGGCAATTTTTTTAATATCGTGAAATAGCCAGGATTAATATCTGATATCTGAATTCAATAGAGGTCATTGTGTATTAGCTAGCTTCAATTGGTGTAATATTGCGCAAGGTCAATATTATTAAATTCACCTAATTTTCTTAACCTGGTATTTTAGGCACTACACTGTTAAGTACAGAGAGAAAGGAGAATCGGCCAAATGGGAATACAAGACTTCATCTCACAGGCGTGTGATGGTTGACAAGCTATCGCCTGACTCCATATATGAATTCTCTGTTCGCACTTCACAAGGAGAGAGAGATGGGACATGGAGTGCTTCAGTCTTCCAAAGAACTCCCGAGTCTGGTACGTTTTCAAAGCTGAGTACTAGAAAATTATTCAGGAGCTTGTTCAATCCACAATTACTTCTTGTTTCATTGTGAAACTGTGCTAAATTCAACGATAAAATCTGAATGAATTTGTCTTTCTCTGTGTTAAGTGATCGATGCTGTTCATTCAGATGTCGTTCACATAATTACTTGTCTTTGATCAGTGAGGGGAACATGCACATTCTGACAGGCACAACTTATTCTTGTGAGAGTACACTCAGGTGAGGACCAACCAGATGACACCTAGAGAAAAACAGCTCATTTTTATTGTTTGTTGACTGAAACATAGTCGCATTATTTTAAGTAGAGTAACATTTAAAACACAGCGAGCCGCATATATAAACTATATAAACTTAATAAAGTAGTTGACAACAAGCACCACATGAGGAAAATTCTATAAATATTGGCCAGATGTGCTCATGTAGTTAAATGGCATATAAGCTCGTTTTCACATTTTACAGATAGGCTAGTGACAGCAGGCTAAGGCAAAGCTATCTTTCCCTTGGAGTTGCTCAGTCAGAAAGGCTTGCCATTGACTGGAATCTACAACCAAATATTTTCATGGTCTTAGTCTTAATATCATAGTTGTAAAATCCAATGCTCTGGCCATGCAGAATTTTGGACACTTCTTAAATACAGTCTTAATTTGGAAGCCAGTTTTCTTAAACTGTTGAAAAACAATTTCAAAATTAAGACTTGTTTATGAATTGTCAGAAGTTATGCAAAATCTTAAATTTCATGACAAATGTCCTAGGGCTAGGACCATGAGAAATGAAAAATTTCTGATTCCAAGGGGGAGAATGTGTTATATACAGTTACACAGAGTGATACGGCATGGAAACAAGCCACTTGGCTCAACTAGTGCATACCATCCATGTTTATACTCCACACAAGCCTAACCCCTCCTATTCCCCTTCTTCTATAGCTCTCTGAGTACAGGTATAATTCCTTGTCTACTGGAACTACCTGCATTGACTTTATAAAATCTGGTAATGCTTTGAAATGTTTGCTAAACGAAGACTAAATAGAGTCAACTCACTTTACAATATATTCTGTGAAATGCTTAGAGATGTCTCAACGATGTGATAAGGTGCTATATCAAATGCAAGGATTATTGTTCTTATTGTTATTATTATTTAAATCATTATAAATGATAAATTTATGGATTCATTTGTATTAATGCAATCTTTGCACATCGTTTCAAGTGGATTGCTTGTTCTGGAGCTCTGTGAAACAAAGGACACTTTACTTTTCTGAGGGCTTCCATCGTAAGGAAGGAATTCTCAGAAGTCAGTATCTATCAATTCTGAACTTTTATCCACCCCACAAACTGGCTCATCCGTTGAGTCTTAGTGTCTCTACATTGGCCCATTGCATTCAAACACTTTACGATGTGTGAAGATGTACACAAATGACAGATAAGCGTTGTCTCCCATGGTTTACATCGTGACACTCTTCTCTATATAAATGCAGCTCCTACCTCCAGTCCAGAGAACTTCGAAGTAACCCCATTAGGTCAGCAAGGAACGGCAGTGACTGCATCCTGGGACCCACCCAGTGAGAACTCTGAGAAGATCAAAGGTAGGAGATATAAATGTTGTTTTTCATTTTATCGATGGAACATCTGTGAATCTGCACCTTAAAAAGAAACTTGTATCCTTTCCTGGGCGATCAAATTATGTACAAGGATGCAAAAAATACAACTTCATTGTTACAGTATCTTGTTAATTTTTGAAATATTTTGCTGTGTTTCAAGTTTTAGAAAAAAAAGGTATTTTCCTAATGTTTTGCTCTAGCTCGCAGACTGCATTACAGCCGCTCAGTGGAGGCTACTAAGCGCTAGCACACTCTTTGGATTATACTCACATCGACCTTCACTGAACTAGTGAGATAAGTAGCAATATCAATGGCAAGTTACGTAGTTTTAGCTGGTTAGACTCCAGCAGTACCGCAACACACACTCTGGGGTCCCCAAGCCTTGGCTCTTGCCAACCTGCGCCTAATACTTTCCGGAATTAGGTAAACAGGATGTGTCCCTACAGGGAGAGAGTGCGCATTCCGTTCCAACAATCTATCTTTGGGATTTCCGTGTGTTGGTGGGATGCATGGAGATCTCAATTTGCTTTGGATACTCTTAAGCATGGTAAATGATTTTCCGCTTGAGACAGACAACCAGCTGACCAAAAAAAAGTAGTGAAATGGGGCAGGATTTGTTGAATGGAAATGGTGAGATTGTAAACCTACAATCTTTGACTGTGATGTTGTGTTAAAATCCTCAGAAGTGTAGGAAATTAAGCTGGTGCACACTTGCATTTAAGTCCTTAGAACAATAGGAATGCGCAGCGCAGAAGATGGACATTCGGCCTATCGTGTCTATTTAGTTCTTTGAAAGAACAATCCTTTCAGTTCCATTTACCAGCCTTTTCCCCTTACCCCTACAGGTATTTCTGTTTACATGTCTGTCTACAGTAGTTCCTCTTTAAAAGTTATTCTGGATCGTGTCTCGACAACCACCCTTTTCAGGGCATTCCATATCTTAACAACAATTTGAGCAAAAATGTCTCCAAGCATCCCCTTTGGTCCCTTGCTAACTGACTTAATGTCTCCCTATTGACTCTATCAAAACCCCTCATGATTTTACTGACATCTGTTGGATGATTATTCTCATTATTGTTAACCTTTACAAAACATAATTTACATGTAGAGCAGAGATTTCATGAGATTAGTTCTTTATGACCCAGATAAAAAGAAGAAATACCCTGGTTAACTAAGGCTATAATGCGTGAGAAATTTTGTAACCATTATTTGTGAATATTTTGATGCTTGTAGACCAAGTGTTGTGCGGAAAGTAAGAACAGACACATGTTCTAATGTGCCATCTAAATCCAGAGCTTCTTTTGGGATCAAACATGTGCAGGAGATTTTTTTTATTTTGATGACCAAATCAGAATATCTCTTTGAATAACCATGTCAAAATTAATGCATAGATTCCTGAGTACAGAGTTAAACTCCAAATTAATTTGATGCCATGTTTCTGATTTGAATTCAAATGTGAGTTTGAACAGGACTATTTAAAAAAAATGTTCTGGGAAAGGATTCTGTTACCAGTAACATTAATGCAGCATTTGACAATAAAGAGTGCTCTTTCTCCAAACCATTGAATGTAACACATTTTGTGAAGGATAATGTTATTGCTGTTTTAGTATGAGTAACTATGCATTCCAATCCAATATTTAGTCAGTGCATTTACTTAAAGCCGGAATTCATGATGTGTTTATTATTCATTATTATATTCATGAATATTATATTAAATACACAAATAGTGATTGAATACCCAAACTGAATGCAACTGAATATCAGTGTGATATGACTTTGTTTTAAAATAAGTTAACTGTTTTATGCTGAATTCAATTTTGTGATGTCATCTTAGAGTTATTATTTGGAATTAGAGTATTTGTGTTAAAACATAAAAGCTCAGTTGCTTTTTGTTAAAACATGACATTGCGTATATAGCTGGTTGTGGATTCCATGTCTTTCACATGTGTTGTATTTTAATGTCATCTCATTTTGTAACAGAATTGAACTGTTATCTAGTGCATTGCTAATCAGCAAATATTAGCAATGCACCTTGTGATTCATTCTTTCCCATACAGTCCCTCCGCTGGAAACAGAGTTGTTTTCAGTTGTCTCCTTCCAACCATCTGCCAAATCATTTCAGAATACATTATTTCATACGCCCCGGCTCTCAAACCATTCGGAGCAAAGGCTATCACTTTTCCTGGGGACATTACAACCGCCAGAGTTGATGGTCTGCAGCCTGGGGAGCGCTATGTTTTCAAAATTCGAGCAGCAAACAGGAGAGGACAAGGTCCTCAGTCAAAAGCCCTCAGTGTGGCTATGCCAAAAAGTAAGCATCATACCTCTTCGTGATGTGGCCTGCCACCTCCAAGCTTGTCATTGGCATAATCGCTTTCTCAATGACATCCTTTGGCTGCATCAAAATTTTATCTGAACATGCTTGCATCACAACTAATGTTGCATTCCACGTGATACACTCTCTGACAGGCCCAATCCAAGCTTTATATTTATACTGGATAATTTGTGCCTGTACAACAACAGGAAATGTCACAGTCAAAGCAGTGTGTTGGTAACATTTCATTCGGTACATTAAGCGTTTGAAGTTTATAAAAAAAAAGTTTACTTTAGCATAGAATTTAAATAAGAAAATCAAATGCACCATGTGTGCTGCCCTTCAACTAATGAGGGATTTATGTGCCATGAGCATATATATGAGCAAGGCCCATTCTGTTTGTGTCAGGGTTTTAGTAGATGGGAAACTGGTTTCTTTACAGCTTCTTTTCGCTTATTCCACGTTTCATTTTAAGAATCAAAAATATGGGGGGGAGGCGGGTTAGTGACGTCTCCTTCAGGCTCTGATGGCTCTAAGATGACATGCCCGGTAATTCGATCCTTTGTGGCGGTCTCAGTAGTCTGATAGACCAGTCCGCCTGTTACATAGATGGATCAATCTATCGATGAGAACGGTCCTTTTCACCTTTCACACCCAGTTAAATTCAGTTTACACTTGAAACTCCTGGACTGTACTTCTTATTGATGGTTCACTTCATTGATAGGTTTCTGCAACATTAGTTGTTTTATTCCATACATTGCTTGCTGCATTGCTCTCCAAAACCTTCCAGCTGTGCTGTTTGAATGCCTGCTTCGCTTTTCAGTAAGAAAGAGTAAATTAAATAACCTCTTTGATAATAAAATAGAGCATGACTGTCTTAAGATGTTTAGAATTTACAAAAAAAGTAAATATTAAACTGCTTATATATATATGTATATATATTCATGAAAGCAGATTTCTCCTTTTGTCGAAAGTGAAAGTAGCGTTCAGAGTGAATAATTTGTCTTGGTTTTTTGGTAGCCAGCAATACTGCTTCAGCTTTCCGAGCTAGGATCCATGAAAAACCAGAGACTTCTGCAGAATTACCTACATCCAAGCCCTCTTACTCCCACACGTCCCTTACAAAAATGGCATCTACACATGTTCAATCTTCACCCGTTTCCAGAGCAGTGACTCCTGACTCTGTCATCAGATCAAAGACAAGGAAAGCTTCCTCTCTCTTACCTAAGTCCCACTCAGCGTTGTCAGAGACCCTGTCCTCACCAGCATCTGATAATAAAACTATTAAAGCCTCACGTTTCTCATCTGCTTCATTATATCCTCTTTCTTCACCCTCAACACCCTTAAGGAATTCAGCCCCAGACCTGAGGAGAAAACCGTTTGCGAGGACCAGGCATGCCTCTTCCATATTACCATCCACCCGATTTCACCCAAGGACGAGAACCTCTGATGCCAATCCAAACTTTAGAAAGCAAATCTCTTCTGGCTCATCGGTTTTGTCAGTTCTCACAGATAATGAAACCAAAGAGCCAAGTCAAGATCAGTCCAAATCCCCATCTTTTTCTTCAACCAGATCCTCTTCTATCTATTCAGAGGAAGACAAAGAAGAGAAAAGCCAAGAAGAAGAAAGTGAAGAGGAAGAACAGGAGCTGGAGGGAAAGGAGGAGCAAGAGGGAAAAGAAGAACTAGAAGACCTGGACGAAGAGGGAGAGAAAAGAAAAAGACTTTTAAGTGAAAGGAATTCAATGTTTACAAAGTCAAAGGAATTAAATCCCAACTCAGTATTACGTAGACAGTTGCAATCACATAAGGAAAACAGACCAATTCAATCCTTGTCCAAAACATCATTGAAACCATCAGTATCATCATCCTCAACTCTCCCATCTTCCTCTCAGTTACCAAGGTCACGGCCATTCTTGAGAAGGACAGCAAAGAAACCACCATCTACTTCCCATGTTTCTCGAGGAAATGTACCTTGGGCTGCTTCTACTAAAAGAAGAGTGACCCCTGATGGAAAGCCAGTTTTCTCCTCTGTACCAGTGCAGTCTGTTCCTTCACCACCTGTTGTGTCCTCTTCTGCCACACGGTTGAGAAGTTCCCATTCATCTTCACCAACAAATCCTGCCTCAGGCTCCAGTCTTATGGACACAAGATCTGTATCTGCGCGTGAGAGACGACCAAATCCTACCCCATCTACCCCTTCTTCTCCTGCCTTGTTACCCTCTTCAAAATCATTAAGGAATTATCACCGATCGTCACTGACTCATCCTCGTATAGGCTCCAGCAGTTCTAATCGCAGAGTGTTGTCTGGAGCTGATGCAAAGCAACTATCCGACTCTCTGCTTTCTCAGTCATCTTCTTTGCCATCAAATCCTTTCACTAGTAACCAAATGATAACTGCTGCTAAAAGAAAGCCAACCACATCTGGTGGTTCTTCTCACTCCCCAGCCTCATCAGTCCAGTCCTCTCCTATAGCAGGAAAAGGGTCACAACAACAGTCCTCTCGTATTAATCCCCTTTTACGTTCACGATCATCTGACGCTAGCATAATAACTGCTGCTGAAAGAAAGTCAGCGATATCCGGTGGTACTTTGCACTCCTTCCCAACCTCATCAGTCCAGTCCTCTACTATAGTAGGAAAAAGGTTACAACAACAGTCCTCCCATACAAATCCCTTTTTACGTTCAAGTTCATCATCTGATATTAGCATAAACACTGCTGCTGAAAGAAAGCCATCTACCTCTGATGGTTCCTCTTATTCCCCATCCTCTGCTGTCCAGTCCTCTTCTGTACCAGGAAAAGGGTTACAACAACAGTCCTCCCATGCTAATCCCTTTTTACATTCACATTCATCTGACATCAGCATAAAAACTGCTGCTGAAAGAAAGCCATCGACATCTGATGGGTCCTTTCCATCTCTTCCATCCTCATCAGTCCAATCCTTCTTGGTTCCATTGACAGGTTCACGTTCATCCTCTCGTACAAACCCTGTTTTACGTTCCAGTTCTTTTAACACCAGGATAACACCTGGTACTGAAAGAAAGTCTGTTATATCCAGTGGTTCCTCTAAGTCTGTTCCAGCTTCATCAGAACAGTCCTCATCCCGATCTTCAGAGGATGCTCATTCATCTGTCCCATCAATTCCTGACTCAAGTTTCTCTAACAGAGGGATGACACTCCATCCTGAAAGAAAACCATCCTCCTCTTCTGTTTCATCTCAGTCTCTTCCTTCTTCATCATCCAGGTCTTCTTCTACAGCATCAAAGGGCTCCCAGTCATCCTCCCTCACAAACCCTTTGCTTCGCTTCAGGTCAGCTAACACCAGATTTGCATCTAGTCCTGAAAGAAAGAAAATTGTGTCTTTTTCTGCACAGTCCTCATCTTCTGAACCATCAGAACATTCTCAGTCATCTTTACCAACAAATCCTTCCTCTGGCTCCCGTTTTCAGACTCCCCGGGTGGCTGGTGATCCAAATAAAGCCTCAACATCACTGTCTGCTTCTTCCACTTTACAAGGACAATCCCATTCTGAACTCAAAAAATCCTACTTAGGCTCTGATTTTGCTAACAAACAGGATACAACTAGTCATGGAACACAAGCAGTTCCCTCTTCTGTTGGAGTTCACTCTGTGCCAACATCACCTGAACGGTCATCTTCTATAGCTTCAGGACATGGCACTCAGCCATCTTCATCATTGCTGCTTCCTTCAGGCTCTAGGCAAACAAAGCCAAGAAGGGTCTTTCCTCCCTCTTCTCCATCCTCCCCACATTTTTCTGCATCATATCCCCTCTCCCCTTCCTCGCCTCAACACCGTTTCATGGGAACAAGGAAACGGTTCCCCCTAAGGACAAGTAGCAATGGAAATGTAGTGCGTGGAGGCAGGTTCCGTCAATTTGTAAAGCAGAACCACAAACAAGGTAAATCTTTCTGAACTTGTTGAAATGTATTTTAAATATTGGTGGTCCAACTTACTACAATTGTAAACTGATTCGGTCTTCTTTTTGTGAATATTGTGGAGTCCTATAGCTCAGTAGTTAGAGCATTCGCCTCGCAAGAGAGAGACCTGGGTTTGATTCCCGCAGGGCAAAATGTTGGGCAAATTTCCTTACTGCACACACCTCTGTTTACCTAGCATCATATCCCGTCTCCCCTTCCTCGCTTCAACACCGTTTCATGGGAACAAGGATTCTCCACGAATGGTTTTTCCTCCGGCCCCCACACTGTCTCGTGCGGTGTCCCTCAAGGCTCTGTCCTCGGTCCCCTCCTCTTCACCCTCTACATGCTCCCCTTGGTGACATCATCTGCAGACATGGGGTTAACTTCCACATGTATGCGGATGACACCCAACTCTACCTTTCTTCCTCTACCCTCAACTCCACGACCACCGATGTCCTGACAGCCTGCCTGTCCGACATCGAGTCCTGGATGAGAGACAACTTTCTCCAGCTCAACGTGCGCAAAACTGAGGCCCTCCTGATTGGCTCGCGTCAGCGCCTCCGCACCTCAGGCGCTGACAGCATCAGCATCCAAGGCTGCACTCTCCACCTCTCAAAGTCAATCAGGAACCTCGGGGTTCTGTTCGATCCTGAGCTGTCCTTTCTCCCTCATATCCGCGCCACAACTGGCACCGCCTTCCATCATCTCCGGAATGTCCCAACCCTCCACCATTCCATACCATCCATGGAAAAAATGTCTTCCCTCTCCCTCTCCACTGCCCTGGAGTCATCTGAACTCCTACACCTCTGGCCCTCCCTGACCGATCTCTCCTCCTCACTCTCCTTTCTCCACAACTCCCTCTCCTCCATTCTGAACTCCCTTGGTACCCTGATCTCCAGAACTGCCTCATACTCCCGTAAATCCCCCTGGTACACCAGGAATCTCCATTCCCTCAAGGCACAAGTGCGAGCTGCCGAACACACCTGGACCAAATCCAAACTAACGGTCCATCGGCAGGTTTGGCTTCACCAGACCAAGATCTACCGCTGCCCTCTTGCCTCCGCCAAATCCTCCCTCTACTCCAAGTAGAAGTAGAAGTGGAGGCAAAGGACAACCCCTGGCTTCTCTTTTTCACCACTAACCGTCTCCTTCGTCCACCTTCCCACACCTCGCCCATCCTCTCCTCAAACGCCAACTGTGAGGAGATGCTGAACTTGCTCAAATCCAAAATCGAGGGGTTACGTTCAACCACCTCAGCCCCGTCCACAGCCATCCCCACATCAACTCTCCCTCATGACCCATCTCCACCCATCCCCCCCTATACTACTTTGACCCTATCTCTCCCTCCTCCCTCACCATGACTGTCCGCAAACTCAAACCCACCACCTGCTCCCTCGATCCCATCCCCACCTCTCTCCTCGTCTCCCAGCTCAACCTTCTGGCCCCACTCCTGTACGATGTCATCAACCTCTCCCTGACCACTGGTTCAACTCCCACACCCCCTAAAAATAGCTGTCATCACCCCCATCCTGAAAAAACCTTTCCTGGATCCATCCCTCCTCTCCTGCTACTGCCCCATCTCTTACCTCCCATTCGTCTCCAAGGTCCGGGAACGAGTCGTTCGGTCCCAGCTCCGCTCCTTTCTCACTGCCCAACAGCATGGAAACAGCCCCGGTCAAAGTCACTAACGACTTTCTGAACATCTGTGATCAGGGTTCCCTCTACCTCCTTGTCCACCTCGACCTCTCTGCCGCTTTTGATACTGTCGTCCCCTCCATCATTTCACGGTTTCTTCTCCAGCCCCCTGCACTGTCACGTCTGGCGTCCCCCAGGGCTCTGTCCTTGGCCCTCTCCTCTTTAATATCTACATACTCCCACTTGGTGATATCATCCGCAGACATGGGATGATGTCAATTTCCACATGTATGCGGATGATACCCAACTCTATCTTTCTGCCTCCAATCTCAACTCCAGGACCACTGCTGTCCTGACAGTCCTGGATGAGGGCAAATTTCCAATAGTTGAATGTGAACAAGACTGAGGCCCTCCTGATTGGCTCGCGCCAGCACCTCTGCACCTCAGGCTCTGGCAGCATCAACCTCCATGGTTGCACACTTCAACTCACCAAGCCAGTCAGGAACCTAGGTGTCTTGTTTGACCCTCAACTATCTTTTCTTCCCCACATCCAAGTCATGACCCGCTCTGCCTTCCCTCACCTCTGTAACATCGCTCGACTCTGCCACTACCTCACCCCTCAGGCCGCTGAAACTCTTGTTCATGCCTTCATCAGCTCCAGGCTCGACTATGCAAATGCCCTGCTTGTCGGCCTTCCCAACTCCTCCCTCCACAGGCTGCAGATAATCCAGAACTCTGCAGCCCGTGTCCTCTCCCGCATCAAACTCCGTGACCCCATCTCCCTCATTCTTGCCCGACTCCATTGGCTCCCTATCCTACAAAGGATCCAGTTCAAGATCCTGGTCCTCACATACAAGGCCCTCCATGGCCTCGCCCCACCCTACCTCTGCGACCTCCTAACCCCCTACCAACCCGCCTGCTCCCTCCGCTCAGCCGGCTCCGGCCTGCTCCACATCCCCTGACCCACCCACCCCACCATTAGCAGGAGAGCCTTCAGCCACTCTGCCCCCAGTCTCTGGAATTCCATCCCCCAGTCCTCCGTCTCACCCCCTCCTTAACCTCCTTCAAGTCCCACCTCAAGACCCTCCTCTTCGATCATGCCATTGGCCACCCCCTTCCTCTCCCCTCCCTTACCCCCCCAACCCCAGCTCAAGTCTGAAATGTTGTTCTCTGTCCACTGCCTTGGGATGTTCTCCCAACGTGAAAGGCGCTATACAAATGTAATGTTTTTGTTGTTGTAATGTTCAGATATTTTATTGTATTAATGTCTTTGTTATGTCAATAAACAGGGAAAAATGGGAGACCAAACTTAACATCAGTTAGGGAGAGCAAAGTTATACTCGGCACAGCTAATAATGAAAAGCAAACTGGACACAAAATTATCACCGGTCCCCAAGGCACAACATGGGTTAAGTATTTCATTTTCCTATAGCGGATTGATTATGCAAAAGCACTTCATCGCCCACATTTCGCCCCCAAAATACACAGTCACCCTACTTTACACAGTATTCTGTGAAGCGCTTTGAGAAGTTTTGATGACCTGCTAAGGTGCTATATCAAATGTAAGGATTACTATTTATTATTATCTCAGTAAGAATTATCTGCCTCCACTCTCTGGAACTCTATTCCGGAGTCCCTTTGCCTCGTTGCTTCCCTTGCCTTCTCCAAGGTCTGTCTCAAGATCTTGCTCCTTGACTGCACCTTCGATCAATTTTCCCTTACCTCGGGTACAAACCCTCAACTGTCTAGCACTGGGGACATCCTCCTGATGTGAAGAGCGCTACAAAATTCAATTTGTTGTTGTTGTTGATGTGAATGTACAGGATGTGACAACGATCATTTGGTCTGCTTCCTCCCACAGATTATAGATCTTATTCGAGGAATACTGATGAATCCAGAAGGCCAAGTGCTCCAAGATTCATTTGGAAAACCTCTCCAAGTTCAGCTGGGAGCAGATGGACGCACCATTCTAGGTTTGCATCATTTTATTGGAAGCCCTTGAGGAAAATTTCAGTATGCTAAGAGAAAAAGTAGATCTTAGTAACATTCAGTCTTAATTGATATGCTAACAATGGGACTCAAAATACAGCTTTAGGAAACTAGAAGACATTCTGATCATTTCAACCCCAGTATCATTTGGTTCATACACCAGTGACTGTGTTCAAGGTTCAGTTTTGGGCAGTTTACTACCTGGAATCTGAATTTGTGAACATATGTTCATACATCCAGCGCCTGTATTCCTCCTTGATTGGCCTGCAATGAGGTAAGCAGTTACTGCTTGAGCTCCGCACCTCCAACTGGTGCAACTATCGCTCGATGAGAATTGACAAGTGTCTGAGCTGCAGATAGAAAGATGGTAATCTCACGCATTTCATGCTGAGCTGTGTTGCCCATCAGGAAGCTCGCAGGGAGCTGCTGGTACCTACACTAATTCAAACCTGCGCTTGTCAGATGTCAAATGACTAACCAGTGATTAGCCTCTTTGAGGGGGATGTAAACAACCTTGGAATTGGTTCCAAGGTGAAACGTTTGGCCACTAAAGTCAATCGGGCCAACCCTCTGTGGGGGTCTCGGTAGTTCAGTTCCTGAACCATGCAGTACTCCAGGGCACTGTTGAAGATAGCACAGTAAGGCTGGCTCAGCAGCAGGATGTGAAAGGGCAGACAACAACAACAACTTGCATTTATATAACACCCTTCACATAAGGTAGCCTCCTGGAGCCCGAGACCATTCACTAGGGGCAGGGACTCTAGCTAGACAAGCAGTGGGAAAGATTGCCAGGCTATCCTCTCAAGAGCAAGCGATGCGGCTTTAGCTGGTTAGAGTACAGCAGTACCTCAACACACACTCTGGAGACCCCAAGCGTTGGCTCTTGCCAACCTGTGCCTAATACTTTCTGGAATTAGGTAAGGAGGATGCGTTCCTCCAGGGAGTGACACTGCATTCTATTCCAACCATCTATCACTGGAATTTCCATGTGTAGTTGGGGTGCATGAAACTCTCATTTTGATTTGGATACATGGGTGTCAGACACCCAAAATATGTTGGGCACTTGCATTAAAGAGACTGACTATTTTAATTTTGCCTTTAAAGATCGACAAGGAACCCCAGTTCTGACTCCTGAAGGCTTGCCTCTGTTTGGCCATGGGCGAGATAGCACCCCTTTAATACAGCCTAAAGGCAGGCCGATCCTATCAGTTGGAGGCAAGCCTATTATTGGATTAATTCAGGAGCTAAAAACAACAATTGCACCAACAACGACAATGCCAACAACAACAACAATGCCAACAACAACAACAATGCCAACCACGACTACAATGCCAACCACAACAACAATGCCAACCACTACACCAGAGCCAACAACAGAATCAACCACTGTGGTTCCAACATGTCCCACAGGCAGCAACTTAAGATTTGATGAATATGGGTATCCAGTTCTAGGCCTTGATAATACAATTGAATGCTTCACAGAAGGTAAATTGTATTTAGCACTTTAACACTTTATTGCTTGTGACGTTTTCTAAATGCTGAATGAATGTGAAATGCTTTCTAAAAATATATAGATGAGTGAAAATGCCTGTTTTGATGGATCTCATGATGTATTGCTTTCATTTGATCACTTCCCTGAGGACACACATTAGTACATCTGTTAGTTTGGACATCGCCTGCTCACTGCTGGCATATTCTCGGAACCTCACTCCTGAGTGTTTCATTCTGTAACTGAGGAGCAATGTAAAGTTGGCATTGTGTTTGTATAAATTTGAGTTGTGTTTCAAGTGGAGCTATTGTATAGGTGTAAGTGGGTAGGATAATAGAACTTGCTAAGTTGTAATCACATCTGTCTATCTGCAGACAGTAGGTTGATTGATCTCTTTGGATCACTTTGAAGGGGCTTACTGGAGAGAAGAAAGTCGAAATTTAGGTTTACGGTAGTTACAATTCTTGCTCCATCTCTGGAAAGATACAGTCTTCAAATGTGATACAATAGGGTAGAAATTTTACCTGGTTCTGGATTTACTTTAGTAACATAGCATTTTTGAATGTCAATAATTTGGGAAATTGTGATGTCTTAACTTTGAGGCCATTTTTTTCCAGTTACTTATAATTTGCCAAATTCTGGATGATCGGAAATGTTATTTTAATAGAATAACTTTAGAACCAGGTAAAATTTAAACTGACTGGTCTTTAGTAAAGAACTCCATTAATGTTGCATTTCAGAGCATCTTCAATTTGGAAAATTATCATATAATTCTTAAATGAACTTACAAAAACTGGCTTCAAAATTAATGTATTTAAGAATTTGCCAAATTAACAAACTACTTTGGCTCTTTCAAGTTACACAAGAAACAGGCTAAGAATTGTATAATGTGATTTTTTCGTTTGTATTGGGGGCAGAGTAATGATGGAAGAATCATAATCCCACACTAAGTTCTGGTGCCCAGCCAAAGTGTCAAGTGTTTTGGGGAATCCTTCTGACATGAAAGGGTCTATATTACTGTAAATTGCGATGTAAATTATATTGTAATTCCACCCAGTCAGAACGTAAAGAGTCTTGGTATGTAAGGTGGTATCAGGCAGTCTTCATTTGATTGAAATTATTCCAATAATATGCTTTCTGGGGATAATAATACCTTCAAAAAGAGAATTGGTCATTCAATCCACGACTGTTTGTGGGGCACTGCTGTGCGCAATTGGCTGCCGCGTTTTGCCCACAAATTACAGTCAATCCACTTCACAGTATATTATGTGAAGTGCTTTGACAGCGCTCAATGATGTGATAAGGCGCTGTATCAAACTTTAGGATTATTATTATTATAAGTGAAGAAGGAAGTATGCTCTTTATAAAATGGCCATTTTTATTGTGGATTATTTTACAAGAAATTACTGGGCTTTCTCAGGAATAAATGAATGAGGTGATTCATCTTACAGCACTGAGCTGGCAGTATGAGTGAAGTTGGTTTAATACGATTGTTGAATTGAATGCTGCTTTGTGGTGGGATACTTGGCGCTGCTTGAAAAGCAAGCTGAAATAGTCGTCAATCATGTGATATGAACAACAAATTAAACCAAACGAATGCTAAGAGGGTAAAATATCCATGTGTGATAAGGACATCTGGTGATTTATACTGATCTACTGAAATATGAATCCATTATAATGTCCTTTTGTTGTGTTTGCACAATTTTGCTCTTCCCCCCCATCATCAGCAGAAGAGTCTTCAGGGCTGGAGCCAGAAGTGACAGTAACAGCTTCCACGGAAGCTGATATGGATGCTCTAGCTATTGCCGAAGGTACTGCCAGCGCCTTGCTGCTCCTCTTAAGGTGCTGCTCATTCCATCTTTAACCAGCATTGAGCATTCCTCTGCATTTTGCTGATCCTCTTAAAATTCTAACATGCTGCATGTAAAAGACCAGAGTTTATGCTTTCTGAATCTCAGTAGTTTGTGCCTTTCCGATGCCTTCTCTGTTCAGTGCTAGGTTATGAACAAAGCAGGCATCTTCTAGGTAAATAATGCATTACTCTATTAGAAAGAGTTGTGTGTTGTAACCCACTGACAAAATGTTGCTTTTTCTGAGCCCTTTAAAGAATTTATATTTTAACTAATTGCTTCATATTTCCAGCTTCACTAATCTGCCTATCTGAATTTCACAATTACTTTTGGCTTACGGTCTGTGAATGCTTCCTTTAGAAACTGCACTTTGTGCAGACAAAATGCAGAGATAGTCTAGGGAAAGCTGAATGTACTTAAAATCTCAGTACACAAGGGAAATGACTTGCTACCAGCAAAATGCTTTGTGCATGATAATTTGTATTTCGTTCGCACAACGGAACAAAATCAAAACTGACGTGCCATAAGTTTCGCAGGTTTAAGACCAAGCAGGGTCACATCAGGTCCATTGTAACAGGAATTACATCAAATATTCATTTGTTATTTATTTACAGAAAAATAAATAATATTGATCTATTATTTATTTACAGATAAATAAATAATTTACCCAACCTCACTATGGATTGTGTTATAATTTGGGGTTCAGTCTACCTTGTGATGGAGGTGGTCATGAAACGCCCACCTTGTCTTTGTTATTTTAAAGACCTGGTTGACCTGGTTTATGTTCCCTTCCTCCTAAACCAACAGTTTAGTCCCAGAGTGAAGTTAATGACTACTCATCAAATCATTCTTTACAGGGAGTTGCTGGTGCAAATCAGTCACTGTTTGCTAATATAACAGCTTTTACTTTCATTTCTGATCAGTGTTATATTATAAAGCACCTGATCTGTGCTAGCAACCTTCCAGATAAAGTTAATGACTACTCATCAAATCATCCTTTATTGGGAGTTGCTTGCTTTCGATCATCCTGCTTCCCCCCTGCCTTCCGCCCTCCCCAATTCTGACCCCCAGCTTGGGTCCGAAAGACTGACTGTCCAGCACTTTGGGACATCCTCCCGACGCTAAAGTCGCTATACATATGTAATTTTGTTGTTAGTGTTGATGTTGTTGTAAAACAATGAGACAATAATCTGATAGTTCTGTATGTTTTGGCTGACTATTAGTTAACATATATCTTACATAAAGGATCTCTCTGAGACTCTGTTACAAAATGGTGACCATCTGGCAGATTCACGTCCATATGCAGTGCAAAGACCCAAGACAAACATTTTTCTAAATATAAGGTGAACTGTATTATATAAAAGAAAAATGAGCTGAGATGTGGACTCTCAGCTCAAGTCCGTTCTTTCCAACAGACCATGTGCAATCTAAATTAACATGAATTTACACCATAGAGAACTGAACAACTGAAGGTAGAACACTGTGACCTGTCACCCTGCCCCCTCGTAATCAAATGAAAACCCCAGGATGTCAATTCATTAAAGCGTACATTTACCAGATCCTGTACCAGTTGCACACAAGAGAGAGAGAGATATAGGAGAAGGGAATAGGAGGGGATGGGGTTTGTGTGGCATATAAACAACAGCATGGACTAGTTGGGCCAAATGGTCTGTTTCCATACTGTATTCCATACTCTGTGTAACTCACAGTGTAATACAACTGAGGATTTGCTGTGTGCAGGAGAACATCCTGTGTAGACTCTGACCTCAATCTATCATTCTATTGATTTGAAGAACTTTTCTCAGATTATGACTGACAAGGTTATATCAGTTTTGAGCACTTTTGTGCTGTTCGCAACATTTACAATTAGTTGAGTAAGGCCTGATGAAAGTTTGCCATTCAATTTTTTTTAGACAAGTCTAACAGAAGATTATTTTACCACAAGTAGGAGGCTTGGTCTCAGCCTAAAGACTGTAATTCAAAAGCATACGTGCTTCCAGGAGTTTTTTAAAACGCACTGCCCTCTTCAGATCACAGTATCACTGCACGTGGCATGCTGCATAGAGTATCCCCCAGGATTCAGAGAGGACTTGATTGACAGCAGCCAAAAAAAAAGACTCATGCAATGTATCAGTGGCCATCTCAATGTGAGAGAATTACATTTTGTTACATGATCTACTGAACCTCTTCTATGCTGGTGAAAACTCTGTTGTTGACGATGATGTGAATTGATGAGCGTTCTGATAACTGCTGTGGGTCTCATAACGGTGTATGTTCTACTGAGCGCATTATGCTCTCCAATTTCCCAGAATGCGAGTCCATCTTGACAATGGGGTCCAAAGTGATTGCGATCTCATATAGGGAAATCCCATTCAGATCTATTGATGCTTTCCTTCGGTTATGTTTTCTAAGGTTTTCAACCAGTCCAAACTACTTTACCTCCAACAACAACCCAGGAGCCTAAGACGAAACACCTCTACACCGTTCCTGTGTTGCAGTTTGACGTGACAGGACTCAAACGATTTACAGGTAGGTACACATTGTTTTAAAATATGTCAGCAAGTATTTATTTATTCACCCGATCTCTAAAATTCCCCCTATCTTAGTCTGCGAGACCATTTTAAAAGGAAATGCTTTGTGTCCCCCTACAGCTGGAGTTGGCTGGGACTTCAGAACCTTTAACCCATAGTAAAAAATGCAAATCATTGAGACCCTACTGTATAATAATCCTTGAATTTGATATGACACTTATCGGATCAATATTTTTTGGTCTCTTGGGTATCTGACACATTCGGAAACCCATTGCCACGCTTAAGATTTGGATATGCCGAGCTGTCCAAAAAAATCATGTTGTAGAAATGTCTCAAAGCACTTCACAAGATATGTTATAAAGTGAAGTCACCACATGTTTGCAAGCAAATTGCACACAGCAATGTCCTACAAACAGTAACTGAGGGATTATTAACCAGGACATAACTTGAAGGCCAAAAAATATATAATATTTTTCTCTAAAGAAAACATGTGCTGGGAGAAATGGAGATAAACCAATTATACAAAGACAAACCACTTACAAGATAAACCAGCTAGATATGGAGGTAAACCAGCTACAAAGAGATAAACCAACTAGACAGCAGTGCCCTTAATTACGTACGTAGCCAACGAAAATGAATTGTTCATTGCATTATTAAGAACCTGTAATTCCCTCTCTACACGTGTGTTGCAGATGATTTACACAACTCACATAATGTACTAGGCTATCCATCTGGCTTTCCACTGTCACTGCCAATTGCTGGTGTCAGGGAGTGAACAGCACACTCAGCGCCTGTAGTGTTTTAATATAGGCCTTCACACAATCGTTTCTCTTTCATGCATTCACTCGGCTCAAGCTGATGGCGCTGACTCTCCCTTTGAGCTCTGTTATCAGTCCAAAGAACGAGAGAGAATAATAGTCTTTGCATTTGATATAGCGCTTTATCACGTCTTCAAGATATAGGATTCACATGAGTCTATCCCTTTAAGAAGCATGCTCAGAATTGTGTATTTTTTATGTGTGTTTTCCACATGTGCAGTGTTAGGCCGAGAGTAACGCTCCATTAGTTTTCAATATTGCGTGATTTGAGTGTACGCTCTTGGCAGCTGGATTGAATGAGGAAATTTGATTTATTTTACATTTGACTTAATCTTCATGCCTTTGAATGTAGTTAGGTATTGGCTTGAGTCACAAATTTAGAATATTTCAAAATGTGCAGTACCTAAATAAACCAATTTGCAAATACAATCTCAAAGGTGTAAGCTAACACTTAGCTGGCAGATAAGTAGATCATCCAAGTCTAGAGGTTTGTGTGCCAGGAGACTGATTTTTGTTAGGGAACGAATGCTATTTTGAGAGAGAAAACAAAACCAGCCTGAGCGAGAATACCTACACTGAAGGCATAAGGTGATGTGGAGTTAGTGGGATTGCGTGAGGATCAGATAGAATTACTCAGCTCAGGAGTTGAAGCTTGCTTGAGAGGAGAGAAACTTTTAATATATCTACTTTGCGAAGAATTTCCCTTAAACCATTTGCCATTCTCCCTTTCCCCTTTGCGACCTGCTTCATGTCCCCCACCTTATCTGCCCCAGCATCAGGTGTCGGGCTTTCAGCCTATTTGCTCGGAGTTCCTCCAACTCGCTACCCCTCTCATGCTGTTCAAGATCTGTCTCAAGACCTACCTCTTTGATTGCATTTTTGGTCATCTTTCCGCTCCCACCCCTCTCGGCTCCCACCCACAGCTGGGTGTCAGTCAGTGCTTTGGGATATCCTTCTCATGTGAAAGGTGCTATATAAATGCAAATGTGCTGTTGATGTTGTATACAGACAAGCTCTCCGGGACACTACCCCACGAGAAGGGCGCTCTATAAATGCAAGTTGTTGGTGTTGCATATAGCCAGTCATTACACAAAACTATTGCTTCCACTCTATTTACAACCTCTTTTCTTTGACCTGCACCAGAAATCCTTCAAACATGCATCAAATGTTGCCTGTAATAAGCACAGCAAATATTCCCGTAAATGCTGCTTAGTGAGACCATAAGACTATAAATTTATTAGAAACAAAAAATGGAATTTATGTTTAGAACTGATATTTATTGAATGATTTTTTATTACTTTGACCTGTTTCAGCTGCACATGTGAGTTATATCAGCAAGGATCCAGCCTCACCTTGCTCGCTAACAGAAGCGCTGGAGCACTTTCAAGTGGACTCACTAGTGGACATTATTCCAAAAGACCTTAAAGATGGCATGAAGGCACCCCAGCGCGCACCTCAGAACATCACCATCGTGGCTGTCGAGGGCTGCCATTCCTTCGTGATCATTGACTGGACGAAGTCTAAGAAGGATGACCTGGTAACAGGTAAGATTCAATAGTAACTCCTGAAAGGGTTCATTCTTCATCACGTTTTGATATCAAACTGCCTAAATTCCTGGATTCAGGTATACTAAGAAAAAGCACAGAGCCTACAATAGCAACATGTCTCAAAGCTCCTCAAAGTATGGTTGGTGAGTGTTTTTTTGTAATGCAAAGGCAACAACCATTTGCACACAGCAAACACTAATAAACAATCATGAGGTGAATTTATCCGGAGGATTGTTAGCCAGGGCACCAGAAGAAATCCCCTTCCCTTTTCAAATGGTGCAGTGGGATCTTTAAGGTCCGACTTAACAGTGTTATAAAAGACGGCACCTCCATCAATGCAATGCTCTTACAGTACTGCACTGGAGTATCAGTCAAGACTGTGAACTTAAGTCCTGACATGCTATTGGGTTGCTAAACAATAAAATGGAAAGAGGTGGTATAATTCAAATGTTGGATAAAAATAATCTTGCTTAAGCATGATGAGACGCTACCACTATGTGAAGGAAGCTGTATAAATGCAAGTTGTTATAAAAACAGATCTTTACCCCTCCAATCGGGTTTTCGTGCTGCCCGCAGCACGGAAACTGCTCTGGTCAAGGTTACAAACGATATCCTGACCATGTGTGACCAGGGCTCCCTCTGCCTCCTCGTCCTCCTCGACCTCTCCGCCGCCTTTGACACCGTGGACCACTCAATCCTCCTCCACCGTCTCTCCTCCCACCTCAACCTTCAAAGTTCTGTCCTTGACTGGTTCAGGTCCTACCTTTCACACTGCCTCCACTTCGTCGCGGAAAACGGTTTCTCCTCCAGCCCCCGCACCGCCTCGTGTGGTGTTCCTCAGGGCTCTGTCCTCGGTCCCCTCCTCTTCACCCTCTACATCCTCCTCCTTGGTGACGTCATCCGCAGACACAGGGAAAATTTCCACATGTATGCGGATAACACCCAACTCTACCTCTCTGCCTCCACCTTAAACTCCAGGACTACTGAGGTCCTGACCAACTACGTGTCTGATATCAAGTCCTGGACGAGGGCCAACTTTCTCCAACTTAACATCAGCAAGACCGAGGCCTTCCTGATTGCCTCGCACCAGCGCCTCCGCACCTCAGGCGCTGGCAGCATCAGCCTCCATGGCTGCACACTCAACCTCACTAAGCCAGTCAGGAACCCGGGTGTCTTGTTTGACCCTGAACTGTCCTTTCTCCCCCACATCCACACCATGACCGGCACTGCCGAACCACCACCTCCGCAACATTGCCAGACTCCGCAACTGCCTCACCCCCTCAGGCTGCCGAAACCCTCACCCACGCATTCGTCACCTCAAGACTCGACTACGGGAACTCCTTCCTCATCGGCCTTCCCAACTCTTCCCATCACAAGCTGCAGATCATCCAAAATTCTGCAGCTCGTGTACTCTCACACACCAGGCTCCGCGACCCCATCACTCCCACCCTCGCCCGACTTCACTGGCTCCCTATTCCCCAGAGGATCGAGTTCAAGATCCTCGTCCTCACCTTTAAGGCCATCCATGGCCTTGCCCCCTCCTACCTCTCTGACCTGCTGACCCCCTACCTCCGTTCAGCGAGCTCCGGCCTGCTCCATGTCTCCCGCCCGACCCGCCCTACCCTCCCGCTCTGCCCCCACACTCTGGAACTCCATCCAACGGTCCCTTCACCTCACTTCCTCCCTTGCCTCCTTCAAGGCCGGTCTCAAGACCCTTCTCTTTGACCGTGCCTTTGGTCTCCCTCCCACCTCTTTGCCTTCCCTCACCCCTACTCCACCTCTCCCCTATGCTTGGGCCCCGACACCTGACTGTTCAGCGCTTTGGGACGTCCTCCCGATGCTTTATGAATGTAATTTTGTCGTTATTGTTGTATCTATGCATAACTGGATGTGTAGATGCTGATGTAAGCACATTTAAAGATAGCGATATGATGGTCTGAAAATCCTGTAGTCCTGTAGCTCAGTGGTTAGAGCACTCGCTTTGCAAGCGAGAGACCTGAGTTCAATTCCAGGCAGAGGGCGAAACCTTGGGCAAGTTTCCTTACTCCACACAGAGCCTAATAATAATCCCTTCAAAAAAAAAACAATAATAAATTGGTCATTTTCAATCTACGACTGTTTGTGGGACATTGCTGTGCGCAATTGGCTGCCGCGTTCGCCCACAAATATACAGTCAATTCACTTTACAGTGTGTTCTGTGAAGCGCTTTGGGACGTCCTCCCGACGTGAAAAGCGCTATATCAAATGCAAGGATTATTATTATTATTATTATTAAAATCTGGAGCGTAAAGCTCAACAGAAATGGATAGTTCAGCTGTTCAGAACCAGAAAGCGTAGCCAGCAGCAGAGCGACCTCTGAATTATTGGCAAGTTAGAAAAGTTCATAGATTTGAACTAAATGTTTATGGTTCTAAAGCTAATAAGAACCCCATTTATTTTCTGCAAAGTTTGCCATATCCATATAAGTTGAAGGTTTAAAGTCATTCCAGATGTCGACTGTTTCCTATTAGATTTCAGCGCTACGCCTCCTTCTTTTGGAGCTGTTGCTTCATGAGAGATTGAAGCTGGTGGAGGTTTGATCTTATGAACTGCTTACAGTTATTTCTTCATGTTTAGTTTACTCTAATACTTTTGAACTTTTACAGACCAGCAGAGATATTCCACTTAGTTTCAACCTTGATTTTTGTCATATTCTACTGATAGAAATTAACATTATTGACATAATTGCACTTTCAACATCATTAATAATGATCCTTACATTTGATGTAGTGCCTTTGACGTCAGGAGGTCGTCTGAAAGTGCTTTGCAGCATACACTGTAAAGTGTAGTGACTGTGCATTTGTATGTGAATGTATAAATCAATGGCACTTTGACCGACATTGACATATTAATAAATTACGCTTTGATTTAATGACCTCCAAGTTCGAACCCCATATTTCTTTCATGGTTGTTTTTAATTTCTACAAAGAATAATTTTTCTCACTCCAGTTACTAAGACTAGGTTGCGCAAGCAATATTGAAACTAGAATGAACTTTTATTGAGGAATGTTGTGTTTGCACTTTTTAATTGTTTTCTCACAGGCCATTTTATTGTGATTGTTCTTCGGTTACAACCTGTTCTTAGCTAGCCACACGATATGCTGATGGTTACAGTGCACATCATACATGGGGTGCAGGAGGGTGTGGGAGGGGGCTGAATATTGCAGCAAACACTGTGGACCACCCTCGTGCCTAGCTCTAGTGTCTGCTGTAGGTACTTGGGCATCAAAGATATCTGTGGAGTCCTGTAGCTCAGTGGTTAGAGTACTCGCTTTGCAAGCGAGAAACCTGGGTTTGATTCCCTGCAGGGTGAAACCTTGGGCAAGTTTCCTTACACCACATACCTGATAATAATCCCTCAAAAAAAATGATAAATTGGTAATTTCAATCCACGACTGTTTGTGGGACACTGCTGTGTGCAATTGGCTGCCGCATTTCGCCCACAAATATACAGTCAATTCACTTTACAGTCTATTCTGTGAAGCGCTTTGAGACATCTAGAAGATGTGAAAAGCGCTATATCAAATGCAAGGATTATTATTATTATTATTACAAAACACCATTGCCATGAATTATTCCATGTCAAGTCTTTACTGTGAAGTTGTAAATTACAAAAATCAACTTTATATTTTCTTCCCTTGCTCTCTTAAAGGCTCTGATTCATGCTGAGTACAATTTCACACATACACACTTGTGCATTTTCCATCAATAGCCAAGCCGATCTTGTCCTCACCCAATAGATACACACACACACCCATACACTTTCCATCAAAAGTCAAAAATTGAGCCCTACACTTCCTCACATACACATACACTTGCCATCAATAGCCAAGCCCAATCCTATCCTCACCCAATATTCAACACATACACAAAACTTTTTATCCATAGGCAACCCAATCCAGTTCTCACCCAATATACATATATATATACACACGCATACACATACACTTTCCATCAATATTGAGCTGATCTTGTCCTCACCCAATATCCTTACACACAAACATATACTTCCCACCTGGGGTCATTGGGTGCCAATGAGGATTGGAAATCATGTCTGTTTTGTTCCTTCTCCAGCTCAGAGGTGTTGAGATCATTTTGTAGCACTCTAACCTACATACCAATTGAAAAGCTGTATGCCCCATCCTTACAAGATAAAGTATGATTAAACACTGGATCATCTGAAGGCATCAAGAACAAACCAATTGATGATTAATGTAGGCTAACGCATAATAAGGACACGCCCTACTTTAGGGAGGTAACCACATAGGCATGTTCTATAAGTGGAAGCCAAAGATGAGTCAAAGTTTCAGGAATGTCTGCAGCAAGTCAACATAGTCAAGCTGAAGCAGCGCATGCTGCAGTTTAACCTGTGTCATAATGCCGGGTTTTACATTTACAGTTCAGATTCTGAGGCTAAGGCAAGAAAGGAAGTGCAGTAATACAATTATAATTTTTTTNCTACTTAAAACACAAGTGATTTATTGTTCACATTTGAGTATTCGTTCAATCTAAGAAGAAATGAATTGAAGTTCGACCATAAAGCCGAATATTACTCTGTCACAAAGCCACTGCAGCTTTTGGTGGCGAAGCTGAGAATGAACTTAGCATTGAATTTTGTACAAAGCTGCACTTCTCCCTTAATGAAGCTAAAATGCAAGAGTGTGTAATATGTTTATTATTATTAATAATAATACTTATAATAAGCCTTGCATTTGAAATAGAGTCATGTCCAGATGATGTGTGAAAGTACTTTCCAGGAATTACTGTAAAGACTATCTACTATGTATTTTGTAGGCAAAAGATTAATAATAATCCCTCCATTTGATATTGGTCCTACGAATGTTGAAATGTCTAAAAACACTTCACAGAGAATTGTTATCAACTCTGCTGACTGAATTCATAGGCAAACTAATGAGATGTAACTACTTAATGTGTTGAATTAACATGTTCATAGCTAAATAAATATTACTTTATTACCTAGAATATTCTATGTCTCCTCTGATATCAACACTGTTTACATTCCTGTTCTGGGGCTTGCACAATTCTGAAACTGAGCACAAAGGAGACCTATATTCTGTACAACATCCAAAATGCAGCGTCTTTTATTGAATTTAAGTAGGAAAATACATATGAGAAAAAATTGCAAAAATACACAATTTTTAAGACAGTTTTCAGAATACAATTTACACAGAGGCAAAGCCTTGCAATGTGTTTAAAATGTGATTAAACACTGTGATGTCAGTGCACAAGGAAACTGGCGTATGAATGTTAAATTCTTCAAGTAGATGGGAAATAAGGATCAGTGTGTGGAATCAGACTCAACTTGTCTCCTGCATAATTCAAATCTCTTGCAAAGACAAGAGCATCTTTGCGGAAACACCCCCTATTGCCTGCAGCAAAGTAACCAGCTAACTGGATACCTTGGAAGCTGAGACACCCTTCATAAAAACAGATCCCTCAGGCAAACTCCCACTCCACCCTCACGGAAACTTGAAACCTCAAAAACTGTACAACGATTCGACAACTACTTTATTAGAATATCATTGATTTACAAGGAAAGTGCCAGTCATTATCACCTATCTTATGTTAAAATCCTGTTATAGAGACAAAGGGAAAAGAATGGTATTTTTAGCGATCTGAAATTGTAACAACAACTTGCATTCATGTAGTGCCCCTGATGCAGGGTATCATCCAGAGCCTTGACAGTGGAGGAGCAGGACGTTGAGCCAGGGGGAGGGGGAGATGACTGTAGGTACGGTTGAAGAGGTGCAATCTGAAAATGGGGAAGAAATGGGCAAGTTGGAGGGATAGAGGAAGAGTATTCCAGAGTTTCGGGGAGTAGTGGCTGAAAGCACAGCCACCGATGGTGGAACACAGGGCACAAGGAACATGCAGAAGGCCTGAGCCAGTCAAGCAGAGGCAGCAGGTAGTGGGTTGGGAAATAAGCAGGTCGGAGAAGCAGGGAATGAAGGGATTTGAAAACGAGTGTGAGGATCGTGGAATTGATCCGTTCGGTGATAGGAAGTCAGTGGAGCCTGGCTAGAATTGGTGTGATGTGGGTACAGAGTTTAGTACACGTGACTATGTGGGCGGCAGAGTTTTGGATCAGCTAGATCTTGTGCATGGTGGAGCTGGGGAGACCGGCGAAAGGTAGCTAGTGTTAATCTGTAAATCCATTTTGATTTAACATTTAAGAGGCCTGAAATTCTATTTAGTCTTAGCCTAATTCATTCTGTTTCTAACTCCAATGGCAGGTTACCTCGTGTACAGTGCTTCCTATGATGAAATCCTGAAGAACAAGTGGACCACAAAGTCATCAGCCAGCAACACAAACTTGCCTATTGAGAATCTGAAGCCAAACACAAGGTAATAATAATCCTTGTATTTGATACATGTTTCTTATCGCATCGTTGAGACATCTCAAAGTGATTCACAGGATATACTGTGACTGTGTTTTTGTGAGCAAATGAGGCAGCCAAATTGTGCAGAACAATGTCCCACAACTGAGCCATGTAGTGAGTGACTAATTTTATTTGAGATTGTTGGTCAGGACAGAGGGTGGAGACACTCCTTTCTCTCAAAGTACATTATAAGAGAGCATTTAATGGGAATGCCAAGACTTCCTGCCGTTATAACCAAGGCAGTTGGGTGATGCTTAATGGGGTTACTTGAAAATTCTGATTTGCTGAGTTGATCATGACTGCCAGTTTACAAGTATCCCAAGCTGGCTGATTTGCAAGATTCTCAACACAGAACTATGAAGCCCAAAAGGCAGCAAAAACATTTTTGTTGGCCAGTCAATTGTTTTACACCAACAGAAACCAATTACCCTCCAAAGAAAATTAATGCTCCACAAAATAAAATGGGCAAAGAAAGTGGGCATCTAAATATATCCTCGGGAAAGAGATGATAAACAGGGTCACTCCCGAGCTGAATTGGTTCTGAAGAAATTTAACCAGGCAGGTCTGCATTGATATAAAATATTGTCAATAATTTACCAGCCTTACTGGCTCTTTCAATAAAATGTGCAGGTGTAAACATGTCTTTAGCCCTGTGAGCCAAGACCCTAGCGAGTAGAGTGATCCTAGCTGGACCAGTACTATGAAACATTGTCTTAAATCATCACATTCCCAAACATATCCGCATCCAATTTCTATTTCAAGGACAAAATTGACACAACTTAAACTGCATTTATTGGGAGTTTGTCCACATATCTATACTCTGTGGTGGAAATAGTTCCTAGTATGTTGGGATGAATAATATGGATATTCAATGCGATAATTCAATGGGATCACAACATTCTCTGTTAAAATAATCGTATGTTTTAATAATATTCCATGTGCCCTTAATTGAAGAGTTATTTGTTTTTCATATGTGTTGATTCAGTTCTGTAGGTTATGAAGCTATGCAAAGTATTACCAGCTGTTGCTGGAAAAATAGATTGGTAACATAAACAAGCCTATTGCCATGAGTTGTAACATTCATCGTTAATTATTGTTACGTTCCAGGTATTACTTTAAAATTCAAGCCAAGAATCCATCTGGGTATGGCCCCTTGAGCGAAACCTTGTCCTTTGTTACAGAATCGGGTAAAGCACCATCCTATGTCCTATTGTCATGTATTTTCATGTTTGTGATTATGTGAACAGCACGACAAAATGTTGCACATTAGCCAATAATTTGGGAGATTCACAATAGGATTTGTAGCTAGTGAATCCCAGATGTCTTGTGGTCGATTCCAAGCTCCGATCAGATGTTCTCCCACCTCCCCAACATCGCCTGGCTCCGCCACTGTCTCACACAGCAAGCCACCGAAACCCTCATACACGCATTCATAACATCCAAACTTGATTATGCAAACTCCCTACTTGTCGGCCTCCCCAATTCCTCCATCCATAGGCTGCAGATCATCCAGAACTCTGCAGCCCATGTCCTCTCCCACACCTGGCTCCGTGACTCTATCATCCTCGCCCAACTCCACTGTCTTCCCATCACACAGAGGATACAGTTCAAGATCCTGGTCCTCACTTTCAAAGCCCTCCATGGCCTTGCTCCCCACTTCCTCTGCGACTTCTTAACCTCCTACCAACCTACCCTCTCACTCTGCTCAGTGGGCTCCGGCCTGCTTCATATCCCCACCCTCACCTGCCCCACCAATGGTGGGCGGGCCTTCAGCCACTCTACCCCCACCCTCTGGAACTCCATCCCGCAGTCCCTCAGCCTCGCCCCCTCCCTTGCCTCCTTCAAGACCCGTTTCAAGACCCTCCTCTTCGACTGTGCCTTTGATCACCCTCCTTCCCCCCTGCCCTCCACCCTCTCCGATTCCAACCCCCAACTCGGGTCCAAAACACTGATTGTCCAGCGCCTTGGTACGTCCTCCCAACATGAAAGGCACTATACAAATATAATTTTGTTGACCTCAGCGGAAGATGTTACTGAAATTGGCAGCTGAGCAGATTCCAGAGCCAACTGAGTGGATTACTCAGTGTCAACTGTGTGTACTTCATTGGTTGAGTGGATTTCATTGCTCGTCTGAGTAGATTCAATTGGATTAACTGAGTGGATCCCAGGGAAACTTATCTGCAATATCTCTGGGATTCGTTATTTACAAATCCTTTCATGAATATTATAAATCACACCCCTCTATTGGAGAGAAATTCCACCCAGGTCTAGATTTAGTCTTATTATCTACGCATTTCAGCATGTCCAGAATTTGCCAAATTGTTAAATTCAGTCTCAACTTTGAAGCCAATTTTATACCATTCTTAAAAGAACTTACAGAAGATTAAGCCGACATTTAAGAATTTGCCCAATTGTGAGCACTCTGAAATGCTAAAAAAAAGTATATCTAGGCCTTGGTGGAATTTCTCCCCTATATCTGTTATAATACTGGTAGCATACTATATAAAACTTATTTTAATAAAAATGTTAATGCCTTAATCTTAGTCATACAAGGTTTGCATTTGCTTTTGTGCATCTTATGCAAATGTAAGTTTGTTTGATTTGCTCCAATATAGTTTGTTACCTTTAAAATAACAAACTCCATGTTATCCAGCTGTTGTGTTGATGACCATATAATGTATATATCATATATAGAACTGTCACATATTTATCACACTGATGCATGTTTAATGTATAGATAGAATGAATCTAATGTCAGAACCGTGATATATTTTGTTGAAGAAGCTGGTGTTTTCCCGATTAATAGAATTATTTTGTTTCCGCAGATAACCCATTGATAATTGTCAGACCACCTGGTAAGCACTCCTGAACCTCTTTTTATCGTTTAAAGTAACTCCCTCAGATGTCAAGATTTTCTTTTTCTTTTTAAACAATCGTGAAAAGTATTTATTGGTAACTTATTTATAAATCAAGTGTGAAACCATATTTAAAAAATCTTCTGGAATATAAATGCTTTGTGATGATTAAAAGACAGCCCTCTTTTCTGTTGCGTTATTTTACTGAAATGGGTTAAAGTTCTTTCTTCATCCTTACCCCTCATGTGACCTTGTGATGTTGCGTGATGGTTTAACTGAACAAAAAACAAGCCTGTGTCCCACCAGTCCACTCCTCACAGCTGCTGAGTTCAAACACTCGATTGATGGATTTGTCATGAGCGGCTACTGGCCCTTGACTCATTGTAGTCAAGTTGCTTTACATGAACAGAACTGATACCACATCCCATATACTTGAGCTACCAAATATTTAATACATGATCTCCTAGATATTAATATAATGGGCAGGGATTGTTTCCTGCAACCCAAAGTCCTAAGGGGTAAGGTGTCCTAGCTGGTCAAACAACTGGAAGCTTGCCAGTCAATTTTCATAGTTTTAGCTAGTTCAACTCAAGCAATATGTCAACACACTTTACAGTTCCCAAGCCTTGGCTTTTGCCAAATTGTGCCAAACATTTGCCAGGATGAAATAAGCCGGATGCATCCCTCCAGGCAGAGAGTGCACATTCCATTCCAGGCACGAGTTATTTTCTGTGGTGCCATGTGGAACTCAGTATGGTTTGGATACTCTTAAGCACTGTGTTGGGTTTCTGCATGTGTCAGGCACCAGCCTGACCAAAAGAGAATGTGTTTGGAAAGTGGATTTTACACAAAAGCTTTGATTAAAGGGTAGAATTGAGATTGCTTTGCAACAGATGAGATGTATATTTTACTGACTAAAATATTTTAACTGTAGACATAATGCTGTAAACACATGCTGGTCTCTGCAGGGGGTGAGCCTATTTGGATTCCTTACACATTCAGATATGAGCCTTCTTCCAGTGAGTGCAAAGGCAAGCAATACGTGAAGCGCACCTGGTACCGCAAATTTGTGGGAGTTGTGCTCTGCAACTCCTTGAGGTACAAAATCTTCCTCAGTGAGGGCCTAAGAGGTACGTGTCCAAAGCCATATTTTATAGGTCTCCGTTAAGCCAAACTTAGTACAGTTTCAACCACAAAATACACAGTCAATTCACTTTTTACAGTATATTTTTTGAAGTGCTTTGAGACATCTCAATAACGCGATGAGGCACTATATCAAATGCAAGGATTATTATTATGATTATTAAACTTTCTTTCTGTGTTCCCCTTTACTCTCAATCTGTTGCTCTCTTGCACACATTTGCAGTGCGCAAGTTAGCATATCCTGAATTTACAGAGCTCCTACATTCTCTTAACATTTCTGTTGTGGTTTTATGGGTATACCTGACCTCTGATATTCATAAGCACCTTGTGTAGAAACACCTTGCCACACCCCAGCTCTGTGTCTCCACGCTGAGATAGAGAGGTGAGGCTTTGGAACCAGATGAATCCAGGGGCATGTTTTGACCCCAGGGCAATGTTCCATCAGGCAGCACATTTCCCAGATGTATTCCTACAGCAATAAAGTCAAGTGGCATCACCGAACTACACAAGTCATACTCTTCACATGCACCTTGTTGAACAAAGTTCAAACCAACCCTTGTGTACTGCCATTGATTGCTTTGCATCCCTTGTAATCTGATTTGATGATCGGGGATTTTGTGCACTTGTTCCTTACTCTTTCAGAGACATTTTATAGCATTGGTGATGCCTGGGGTAGAGGTGAGGACCACTGTCAGTTTGTGGATTCATTTTTGGAAGGAAGAACAGGAACACATTTGAGACCAGATACTCTGCCGATTATCCCAGGTAATCCGAGAGACCCTGGAGCATAGACTCCAAAGCTTGCTCCTCAATGTGTGGTGTGTAATTCAATCAGAGTATTCATGCTGTAGAAATGTTGAAGTGGTTACATCTATGGGAAAATTTATCTAACCAATTTTAGTGCTGCTGTATGAATGAGAGGAAACAAGTGAGAAGATTACAGCTCAGGAGGAGGCCATTCAGTCTTCATGTGGTCACATTTCATTATGTGAACTCACATACTGAGTGCCAGCAGTGCTATTCAACCAGTGGGGAGTGGGGAAGAGATGCGGCTTTGATAGCAACAACAACAAATTACACTTGTATAGCGCCCTTCACGTTGGACAGCCAGGGCGCTGGACAGTCAGGAATTTTTGGACCCGAGTTGGGGTCAGGAGGGATAGAGGGCGGGGGGTTGGGAGGGATAGAGGGCAAGGGCCAGTGGGGTGGGAGGGGGGTCAAAGGCCACCCCAAGCCTGTCCTCACTTGACATTTAGACCTCCACGCTTTTCACAAGGGGCACTTACTGGGGTCAAGAGTGAGAATATTGGCCTATTCTTTCTACCTGACTCAGTTTGTAGCACTATCATTCCTGGATCAGAAGGTTTTGGGATCAAGTCCCATGTCAGAATTTTGAATTCACACTTAACCCTGCAATTAAGCCTTGAAGGAATGCTCTGATGCTCTCCTTTGGAGGCGTTAAACCAAGCTCCTGCCTGCTTATACAAGTGGACATTAAAGATCCCATGGATCCATTTGAAAGAAGGGAGTTTCTCCCAGTGTCCTGGCCAACAATCCTCAGGTAAAATGTGGTCATTCACATGGCTGTTTGTGGGACATTTCTGTGTGCAAATACATTGCCATATTCACCTAGAAATACACAGTTACTACACTTAAAAACAGTTTCAAAATTTAACATTTTAGCAAATTCAAGGATTGTTATTTTTATTATCCAGTGCCACAATGGGAGAGTGTTTTCTTATTACTCGGACCCACAGTACTTTATTAACTGCACTGTGATTTTTTTTAGGATATTATCGGAGCTACCGCCAGGAGCCAGTGAGGTTCGGCATTATCGGTGGAACCATGAGGTTTGGTGGATCACCCAATTACTATGTGGGCTGGTATGAATGTGGAGTGCCAATTCCAGGAAAATGGTAATGAATGGGACCACTGAAAATTCCTCAAGGATGTTTTATAGAACTTTGCTTCCACATGACCTGAATAAACCTGCAAGGAAGTTGAAATTGTAATTTTGAGATATAGTATTTTCAGGAGATTTCAAACCAAAAAAAAACAAATTCTGGTACAATCTACTGGAATATACAACATAATTCCTAAAATATATATATATTAAAGGAGTACCCAGGTTTAAAGTAAAACGTGTTCAATACTGTTTCACACATCTGCAAGCAACTTGGTGCTCTGCTTTCTAAAGGTTGAGGAGTGGGCAATAAGATCAACAGGAGATAAAACACCAAAATACTCCAGGATTTTACACACAGACATTGGAGAGCATTGCCTGGTTATCAGATAACTTAGTGTTCATTGAATCCAAAGGGTTGTTTCACCATAAATCTCTACCTAAGCGCTGTGCTTACAGAATAATATTGAGTTATTTGGAGACCAAACCCTTGTCTGTAGAAGTCTCTCCTTTAACTCTAGCTAGGGCTGAGCTTTCAATCAGACTTTCCCCTTCTCACCTTTTACACCCTGAAATGGTCTATACATTCAGTTCTTTCTCTTTTCCATTACTCAGCTCAATATATGATCCGTAATCTATGCATCTTATCCATTGCAAGTATTACCTTATGTTTCAGGTGAAAACATTACCATCCATATCTAAAGGCAGATCATGCATCATTTCATCTTAGCACAGTAACAAAGATGTAGATTGCTTCCTGTCACTCACATATGGCAAAAGGAACAGCTAGTTTCCTAGCCTATAGGCTCTACATAGACTAGATTATATGTAACACTACATTTAACCTACATACAAAGCATACAGGTTTATAAGGGATCACTGATTGAGTACTGAACCACATGGTTTTGATTGAAAGTAAAGGACAATTTCTACAGCCTCCATCAGCTATTGTAGCCCTGGCATCCACCACAGTCTGGAGTAACCTCAATTTTCCAAGCTTCAAACCTCTTTGCTACACCAGCATCCTTAATTCATGCTTTCAAATTTCTCATCAAGTCAAAGATGTCAAAAATGTTTTGTTTTTTTACAGGCCTATAAAAAAATCTGTAACATTTAAATTATATTTGAACGAAACATAGAAAATTGTGGAATGTATTTCTCTAAAAGCTGAAGTTTGCTGGATATAAAACGGTTGCACCAGCATAAAAGGGTTTTCTTTCATTTGTTTCCACGCTGTGTAATTCCTTATTTGCTTGTGTAATATTCTAAAAAGTCAATTTTGCACAGGTTCAATGGAGCGGTGTTATTTTCAAACTGCACAAATTGAAGGAAAGTGAGTATCTGGTAATACCATGTCTACTTAGATCAAAACGAATGTGCTGGCCCCAAAATACTTTATCCCCTGATTTATTAATAGTTGCTTAATTTCTGAAAATGAAGCTCCTTTAAATGTGGATCGGGGATGGCTGCAGTGATGAATCTATCTTTCCAATGAAATTTCACATCTGGATAGAAACAATGGCAAATATGTTGCGTTAACATGCTGCATCTAAAATCTCCTGCAAAATGATGTGTGCTTAAAGCACAGCCAGTCTGCTGCTATTAGCAGCTTTGAGGGCTGGTAGCAAAAGTCGGTGGTTCAGCAGTAAACTGAGCAACGCAATGCATCATTGATGCCTTTACCAAAACAGTTTTCCAAATGGGATGTGTAGAATGTTCGGCCATGGGCTTTGACCTGTGATGGGATGGCACTGCTCTATTTAAATGAATTATGTATCACAGTGTTGACCTTAGCTTTCATTTCACCCATCACTCTCTGAATTGTTTTTTACACTAAACTGCCCCTCATCAATCTTTCCTTTAGACACCAAACTCCTGATATTGTCACAAACTCTGGAATGTGACATTGATCAACTTTGCCCTGATCAAAACCCCCCATTAGATACCCTGCCCAAACATCTTGTAGTGTAATGGGAAAGATTTGTAGATCTGCCAACAGAATTATAAATCCTATAGGATTTTCTTTTAGTAACAGGATTCCATAATCCCAGGCAGAAACACATACTTCAACCCAACCCACTTATGCACATGCCATAACATTTCTCACAAGCACATCTTGCTCCTATGTAATTTACCATCTAAAGCAGCCTTGTTAATAACTGTAAAAATCTACTTTTTATTAAAAATTATACAAAAAAAGACCTGTTTTATCTTGTGAGATTTTATGAAAAGAAATTATTTCAAAGGGTTCAAGCACCATCCAAACCACCTTTGGCCTGTGATTTTTCCTGAGACAGTCAAAATGCTTGCATTTCAGTAATATAAATATTTTTTAAAATGTGATCACTCAGTCTGCTGAGTGCAATCGGCTGCCCCGTTTCGCCCACAAAATACACAGTCAATTCGCATGGAAACAATATATTCTGTGAAGCGCTTTGAGACGTCACATTCCGACTCGACTTCTCAACTGCCCTCTTTGTCGGTTTCCCCAGCTCCACCATGCACAGGATCCAGCTGATCCAAAACTCTGCTGCCCACATAGTCACCCGTACTAAACTCTGTACCCCCATCACCCCGGTTCTAGTCAGGCTCCACTGGCTCCCTATCCCCAAACGGATCAATTTCAAGATCCTCATTTCCAAATCCCTTCATGCCCTCCATACCTCTCCGACCTGCTTACCCCCCAACCCACTACCCTCTGCCTCCGCTCGACTGGCTCTGGCCTTCTGCATGTCCCCTGTACCCTCCGTTCCACCATTGGTGGCCGTGCTTTCAGCCACGACGCCCCGAAACTCTGCAACACTCTTTTTCTATCCCCCCCGACATGCCCCTTCCTTCCCCATCTTCAGGTTGTGCCTGAAGACCTTCCTATTCGACTGTGTCAATGGTCACCTTCCCCCGGCTCGGCATCGTGTTCATCCATTGTCAAGCGCTCTGGGTTGCTGCCCCAAGTGAGGGGCGCTATATAAATGCAAGTTTTTGCAAGTTTTTGTTGTCACATCGATATATAGTGCTATATCAAATGCAAGGATTATTATTATTATTATTATTATTATGTTAACTATCTTCCTGGGAACTGGTGTGTTTTATTTGACTTTCCAAAACTCTGCATTTAAAACTTTTTAGCTCGCCTGCCTGCATTTCCTTTGCTCACTGGGATTGGCTTTTTTTAGTTTAACTGTACCAGAAGTCAGATGGGATTTCGAGACATGCCTATGTTTTTAGTCTGTCTGCAATCCATGCCAAGTGTCACACAAGAGGAAATCAATGGGAGTACACATTTCACAGAACTTCAGACGATATCCAGCAGCCAGGATTAAAACTGGAACTTCAGTGAGAAATTATGAACTATAAATTACCTAAAAGACTGGGATCAGCACTGTTGCCTAAGTCTCCACTGTATTTGTAAGTTGCAGAGAACGGCCATTACAAACAGTAGCGCACACTCAATATTATTGCAGCTGTAACAAAGTGCTGTGAGACAGAATCAAGCATTCATAATTCTGATAGTGGTATTGTTTTATGAATGACAGGTATAAAAACAAAATGTACAGTATAAAGTACAGTAATTAATAATAATCCTTGCATTTGATATAGCGCTTTTCACGTCGGAAGGACGTCCCAAAGCGCTTCACAGAACACACTGTAAAGTGAATTGACTGTAAATTTGTGGGCGAACGCGGCAGCCAATTGCGCACAGCAATGTCCCACAAACAGTCGTAGATTGAAAATGCCAATTTTATTATTGTTTTNGGTTTTGGAGGGATTATTATTAGGCGTGTGGAGTAAGGAAACTTGCCCAAGGTTTCGCCCTGGAATTGAACTCAGGTCTCTCGCTTGCAAAGCGAGTGCTCTAACCACTGAGCTACAGGACTCCACTGAATTGAAAAATAACAAAATTACAATTTTCATCTCCTGAGCCCCTTGTCTAATTTGGTAGAAATAAAATGGGAGTTTTAAAATTAATTGATCTTCTAAGTTTTTAAATCTGTAGAGGTTGCTACATGTTTCTATGTAGAAACAATAACCTAAAAAAAATACACAATTACCTGAAAGTGTGAGCTGCATTTTTCCAAGTCGGAGAAAACAACTGGATGGTTCTCACTGGAGAGAAGTCAGGTTGCGACTGATAATAATAATAATAATACTTGCATTCGATATGGCATCATATCATGTCTTCGAGACGTCTCAAAACGCTTCACAGAATATACTGTAAAGTGAATTGACTATAGTTTATGGGTGAAATGGACAGGTTGTGTGTTTTTTTGAATATTTAGTCATTTATGCTTGTCACTCGAGTGTCTGACACAGGCAGAAGGAAACCCATCACCATCCATAGGAGTATCTAAACTAAATGACTGAGATTTCCACAGTTTGCATGAATATTTCCATTCTGTCTGAGCTGCATGTTAAAAACCACAATTATGTCTCCAGTGGGACAGCTGCATTCTGTGTTTACTCTCCTCCACAGCACCCTCTCCACCATTCTCGACGTCCTTGCCACCCTCACTTCCCGAAATGCCTCCTATTCCCGATCCTCACCCTGGTTCACCAGCCACCTCCGCTCGCTTAAGGGCCAGGTGCAGGCTGCCGAATGCACTTGGCTCAAATCTGGCCTAACGGTCCACCACCACATCTGGCTGGACCTCATCAAGAACTACCACTCCGCTCTCGCCTGAGCCAAATCATCCTTATACTCCAGGTTAATCCTGGAGGTGAAGGGCAACCCCAGGCTCCTGTTCTCCACCACTAATCGGCTCCTCCTCCCTCCCCGACAAGCCTCACAGATTCTTTCCTCTGACTCTCACTCTGAGAAAATGCTGGACTTCCTCGAATCCAAAATCAAGGTCACAAATGATATCTTGGCCATATGTGACCAGGGCTCCATCTGCATCCTCGTCCTCCTCGACCTTTCCGCCACTTTTGATACTGTGGACCATTCAATCCTCCTCCACCTTCTCTCCTCTCACCTCAACCTCCAAGGTTCTATCCTTGACTGGTTTAGGTCTTACCTTTCAGACCACCTCCACTTCGTCTCAGCAAACGGCTTCTCCTCCAGCCCCCGCACTAATCTTGTGCGGTGTTCCTCAGAGCTCTGTTCTCAGTTCCCTCCTCTTCACCCTCTACATGCTTCGTTTTGGTGACATCATCCGCAGACATGGGATTAATTTCCACATGTATGGGGATGACACCCAACTCTACCTCTCTGCCTCCACCCTGAACTCCAGGACTACTGAGGTCCTAACCGATTGCCTGTCCGACATCAAGCTTTGGACGAGGGACAACTTTCTCCAACTGAATGTCAGCAAGACCGAGGCCCTCCTGATTGGCTCGTGCCAGCACCTCCGCACCTCAGGCACTGGCAGCATCAGCCTCCATGGCTGCACACTCAACCTCACTAAGCCAGTCAGGAACCTGGGTGTCATGTTTGACCCTGAACTGTCCTTTCTCCCCCACATCCGCGCCATGACCGGCACTGCCTACCACCACCTCCGCAACATTGCCAGACTCCGCCACTGCCTCACCCCTCAGGCTGCCAAAAACTCCATCCCACAGTCCCTTTGCCTCGCTTCCTCCCTTGCCTCCTTTGATTGTGCCTTTGGTCGCCCTCCCAACTCTCTACCTCCCCTCACCCCTACCCCACCCCTCCCCCATGCTTGGGTCCTAACCCCTGACTGTCCAGTGCCTTAGGGACATCCTCCCGACGTGAAAGCACTCTATAAATGTAATTTTGTTGTTGTTGTTGATGACAGAGAACAATTACATCTGGAGACACTTCATGCTGAAATCCAATTAATATGGAAAGTTATCAGTGTGTCGTCCTCCTTCTGGTCTTAGTAGGAAACCAGTGTTAGAGCTATGCAAAAAATGAACTGATACAGGAGTTTCTATTCAGTGTGCAGAATAAGAATACTGATCGTTCACTTCATAACTCTTTGTGGGACATTGCTGTGCACAAATTGCCTGCTGTGTTCACCTATAAATACACAGTCAATACATTTTACAGAAAACGGTGAAATGCTTTGAGACATTTTGTGTGATAAGATACTATATCAGATGCAAGGACAAATATAAAAGCAGAGGAAATGAATTCATGTACTTTGAAAGAGAGGTGATTTGCACAATAGAATTATCTATAAAAGTTGTAATCAAAAAAAGATTAACTTGTGTACTAATGGGCAATACACAATGTACTGAATTTG